TCTTTTTGGCTGTCCAAGATATTCTAAGCATTCTTCTGTAAAACCACATCTCTGAGGCCTCTAAAAATTGTTTGGCCTGCCTACCGATTGTCCAGGATTCACATCCATATGTTAAAAATGGATGTATGTAGCAAGCAAGAATTCTTTTTCTAACTCTCAATGACAAGGATATATTTCACAAGATGTTTTACATTTTATAAAATGCAGTTTTTTGCCTGTCCAATTCTGTTTCTTATTTCAGTTATGCATCTTCCATCTGATGTTATCCATGTACCCAGATACCTAAATTTCTGTACTTGTCCTAAAATAACACCATCGACTTTTTTTACACATTTAGGAATAATTTGTTTCTTTGATACCACCATTACTTCTGTCTTCCCATTATTCAAACTGAGGCCCATTCTTCCACTTTCTAACACTACAATGTCTATCATTTCCTGTAATTCTTTCTGACTTGTTGCTATCAAGACTGTGTCATCAGCCTAACGTAAATTGTTTATATTGTGCCCACCAACCACAATTCCTGGCATATTAATTAAAGATCTCTTTATATATTCACTGTATATTGAAAACAAATCAGGTGACAGTACACTTCCTTGTCGTACGCCCCTCTTTATGCTTTGAAATGTACTTAAACAGTTGTTTATTCTTATAGCTGCTGTTTTCTGCCAATAGGTATTCTTTATTATTCGTAGATCTTTCCCATCAATGTTTAATTTTTCTAACAGTTTGATTACTTCTTCATGCTTCACACAGTCAAATGCTTTTGTATAGTCTATGAAGCATAAGTACAAATCAGTCTTTACTTCTAAAGCTCTTTCTGACAATGTCCTTAGGATGTAAATGGCATTGTTTGTACCTTTTCCTTCTACAAATCCACATTGTTCATCGCTGATCTCTGGTTTAATTTTGCCTCTTATTCTTCTCATAATTATTCTCAGTAAAATCTTAGTCATGTGACTCATAAGGCTTATTGTGCGATGGTCTTCACATTTTAAAGTGCCTGGTTTCTTTGGCAGAGCTATAAATATGGATTTTAAAAGGTCATTTGGAATATACCCACTATTATAAATATCATTTAAAAGTTTAGTAATTATTTCAATTCAAAAATCTCCCAGTGCTTCGATTTCTTCCAGTGAGATGTTGTCTGGCCCGGGTGATTTTCCTTTCTTAATATGATGTATTGCATCCTCAACTTCTGCAGTCATTATTGGTGGACCATCATTGTTGGTCTACAGTTCTACATCTGGTCTTTTCTCATCATACAATTCCCCTATATACTCTGTCCATCTGTTAATTATATTACTATGTCCTATTATTAAGTCACCATCTTTTGATTTCAAACATCCAGTGCTGTTACATGTCATCTTTCCTGTTAACATATTTATCTGTTGGTACATGGAATGTGAGTCTTTCCTTTGATTTTCCCCAATCTCTGTACACATTTGATTTAGCCAGGCTTCCTTAGCCACTTTGCATTTCTTCACTATTTCTTTTTGTATTCTAGAGTATTCTTCTTTATCATTCTTTTTCTTCCTTCTTTCATCCATCAACTGCAGAATTTCGGTTGACATCCATTTCTTTTTTGCAACTCTATGGGTTGGTGGGATTGTCTCTTTTGATGTCTGCTGAATTGACTCACGCAACATATCCCACTGTTCATCAATAGTCTGTATAATTTCCATTGCATTATACCGGTTTTGTACAGTTACATTGTATTGTTCCTTAATTTCTTTATCCATTCTAAGAATTCCTAAATTTAACTTGATGTTCTGTGGTGTTTTTCTAATGTTCTTTAGTTTTATTCTAATTTTTCCTACAATTGGAACATGGTCACTAAAGCAGTCTGCCCCTGGTCTAGTTTTTGCTCCAACTAAGCTGCTCCTGAATCTTCTTGAAATCAAAATATAATCAATCTGATTGCGGACAATATCACCAGGACTTTTCCAAGTCTACAATCTTCGAGGATGGTGTTTAAACCAAGTGTTACCTATTATCATGCTGCGCGACTCAGCCCATGCTATTAATCTGTCACCTCTCACTTTCTTTTCTCCTAGGCCATAGCCACCAGTTATTCCGTACACTTTTTCACTTCCTACTTTTGCGTTGAAATCTCCAAGTACCATTGTTACTTCACAATTTTTGCATTGATCAACAGCCATGTCTAACTCGTCATAAAATCCGTCAATATCTTTCTCTGAACTATCTGCTGTTGGAGCATAAATCTGTACTAAGTTGATGTCAAACAGTCTGCCGCAAAGTTTTACTAATAGTACTCTGTCTGATATTGTCCAAAATCCTTTAACAGTTTTTGAGTTCTTTGGATCCAAAATAATACCAACTCCCTTACTATATTCCTTCCCACCCGAGTAAATAATTCTGTACTGATCTGAATACTTTTCCCCTGCTCCTGGCCATCGCATTTCACTAATTCCTAATATGTTGATGTTCATTTTCTTCATTTCCATCTTGATGTTATCCAGCTTTCCGTTTTTAAAGGGGGTGGTACGTAGTTAAAGGTATCGTTGTCCACTTAAGGCGGCATCTAGTGACAACCTCTACCTTGTCTTTAAAAAAATTATCCATCTCCACTTCTTTTTGTGAGTTATAGGTATCTGTCGCATTTTCTTTAGTTGCGTGACTGCAGTTCTCATTGCCTTCCGTGCCTGTTACACTTTTCGAGTTTACCATGGGGGCTTTTAAAAAAAAAAGTACCTTTGAAAGTCCTGTTGCATTCCCTGTGTCTGAGGTGTCCAAGTATGGTTTTGGTCCACTCATACTGGAAGGTCTTACCTGATCTCAGTGTCTTGACTTTACTGTATTTGGAAATCAGGACTAAACATGATAGGTGATCAAGAACTGATGACTGGAAGATAAATGCCAAACCTGTAACTGTGTCTGCATCCCCCGCCCTCATTGCCATTCTAAATCGGCCTCTCATCATATATAATATGTTTTTATATTGGCTAACTTTGTAAGGTTTCTTATTAAAGCATATCACATAATCTACCGGCTGTCATTGTTATTTGATTAGAAACAGAGCCCAGCAGATGTGGTGCCTCTATTTCAGATCAATCTTTTGATGACCATAGACCTTGTAGGATGGATTTACTCACAGTAAGGAAGAGAGTTATATTAGTTGGTTGGAAAGTGGTGCTGACCAGCCCTGCAGCTGCATCAAGAGCAATGACTTAATAGCTAGAGGCAAAAAAACTGGCAGTGACAGAGAAAGGAGTTGCATTTTATGGTAAATAGATGTGAGTGCCACTGCTTGCATTCTCTAACAAACTTTTGGAAGTAGAAGCTTGCATTTGCCAGCTGCCCTGATAAATGATTGAAAGTTTTATTTCTATCTGCCATTTGCTGTTTTTGCAGAACCTGCACAATGATGAATTAGCCGATCAGCAAAGGCAATGAGTTTCTGCTCCGATGTATCCAGCATAGACAAGGGCCTTATCCAGAACACTGGCATAGAGAAACATAACTGGGAAAGGATCTCATGCTGACTGCCTCTCTTGCAAAATGTGAGCAGTTTTGTTGTTTGAAACTTGTTATAAGCAAAGGTGAAGACTAGTAACAGCACTGAGTCCATGCCACTGGGCTTATGCATGCTTTGATAAATCAGTTGACACTTGATAGCTAATGATGTCACTATTATGCTAGCCATCTATTCTTCCCAGGACATGTCCTGGTACCCATTTTGATCAGCTTGGAAGTATGTTCACTTATAAAAATAATCTGAAAATGGTTTTGAACACAAAACCTTATGCGTGGTAGGCAAGCATCTAGCCTATCAGGCACCATGACAGTCACGGACAGTCATATTTGCTTGGTTTCTTTGAAAAAAATTTATAAATAAAAAAGTATAGGCCTAACTATAGCTTTGCTTTGCTGCTAGCTCTTATTTTGTCTGTGTGTGTGTGCACGTGCATGCCTCTGTGTGTGTGTGTATGTGTGAGAGAGAGAGAGATGTTGTCTGCTGTGGATATGTATATCCTCTGCTGTCTTTAGGAATATTACTGAGGCTCCATATGTTTTTTTTTTCCCATGGTGTGAATCTCGCATTCTTTTCTGAAGATACCAAAAAGGGTTTTGTCTGAAACCCTTGTAGAGTGAGTCTACCCCTCATTTGTCAATAATTGTAAAACACATTCACCACCTCTAAGCCACAAAGCTGCACCTTATTATGTAAGAGTAATCCCACAGCAGATACTACCATATAGAAGTGTCAAGTTTCACACCCTCTCTCATGCTAGGCAATAAAGTAGGATGGTCTGTTCCTTTTCTGAATGCTTTTCTTTCTGAAGACAAATTCAAGAAAATTCCAGACTTTATGTATTACTGGTGTGAGGCTCGGTTGACCGCAGATCTATGCTAGTCAAAAAATGTTATGCCAGTTCTGGGGATTGTGCTCAGCCGACTGTTTCGACCAGCAAGTAAATCATCAGACAGAATGTTGCAGCAAGGGTAAAATGTATGTGCTGTTATTTGTTTGGCTTAATAGATTGTTCTGGGCCATGTCTAACAAATTCAAACTGAATCAGTGAATGAATGAATGACTGAAAGGAGCAGACAGTAAAAATCAAACATTGTGGCTTTTGGCTGAGACCTTTATTAACTTACTGACTAGCACTACAAGAAGAAAAAGAAGAATTCTTTACACCAGTTACCCATGTTAATTATTTACATGATTGCCCATGTCAAGACTGTTGTCTAGAATTATTATTCTTGCAATGCCCACTGATAAAGGCATTGGACATAATGTTTGATTGTTTCCTCCCTCCCCCTCATTGAGCTTCCAAATCATAGTTCAGTAAATTCATGTTTATCATAAAGTAATTTGCTGTCCAAATGTGCAGCAGCAGCCAGTCTATCAGGATGCTAATTACCCAGAACACCTGCATATCTGTGTTATAAATCAGTTAATGTACTTGGAAAAGTCTAACTGATTCAGTAACTAACATTTTCTTGATCATTCATTCTAGTTTAGTTCCATGGAGATGGGAGCTGATAACAAAGAGACTGTTGCAGCCTTTGTGGTACTTACTGCCACATTTGCTGTTTATTTGAAGTGCTTACATCCGTCACTGCCAGGAGGAGACTCAGGTTAGCAGAGCTTCTCTGTCTTGTCATTGATTGCTTGTATTCTTTTTCTTTGTTATTGCATAAATGTAATACTTACATATGTGGGGTTTTGAGAATGCTTTTTTCAAATCAGGGAATCAATCAAATGCTATCTTTACAGTGAAGTTTGGCTGCAGTGAATCTCCAACATTCTTTGTCTTATTTCCTAAAGCTGCTGTTCATCCTTCTCTTTATGTTATCCTCTTATTTGAATCACTGTCCACTTCTTGCTGACTTGCATTCAACTCTTTCATCTAGTATTTTTGTGTTTTAAATGAATGCTACGTCTTTAAAATGTGGCAAACGTATTTCATTTGTCTGTATTTTATTTCTTTCAACAACTAATACTTCATTCCCGTAACCCCACAATCTTCGAACTTGATGTTTTTGTTTCCACAAATTATGGCTTATTTACTACTCATTTTATTTATTTACAGTGATATCCACAATTTGACTGTATAATTGCGTATTCATTCATTGTCTAGGATTCTGCTCCATATAATTATATAACTCTAGATAACATTTGATAATTCTTATTGTGTTGCTTATTCATCTGGATGCTAAAAAGTTTTCTCTTATTTGAAGATGTTTTGGGCTCTTTTTGTTCTCTTTTTAATTTGTATTATCCTTATTAACTCCTTGTGAAAGTTTAACTATTTTATACATAAATGTTTTTTGTTGTTGACAGTATTTTATAGATATTCAAAACTCTAGAGTCAAGAAAGTTACATAGAAGTTGCCTAAAGTGCAATAGCTATAATGAAAATACTTTGAAAAATGTAACATTGACTGTTCTATTTGTTCAGTTTCGTAGCCAGCTTTCTTTGATATGCTTATATCAAATTTCAAAGAAATAGTAGCATATTTGTAATATGAAAAGAGAGATATATTCATTAAAGAAATAATGGCAGCTACTATTCTGAAGAAATTGGAAAGGCCAATAATAAAAGTTTGTCTCCTAGCAGAATTTGCATGTAAATATGGTACAGATATGAGATATCAAGTCTATTTGTACCACTTCTTTGAACATGGTTGTGTCTTATAGTCTCCATCTGCTTCAGTAAGTTACAGTCTGAGCTTCTCAACTGAGGACTCCATAACATTCGCAAGGATATCATTTTTTTTCCCACCAGAATCGTACATAATGTAGCTGTTCTCTTGTGGGTGGGTGTTGAAATTTCAGCTCTCGCAGTGGTCTGTTTATGATTTCCAACTATTTAGAAGTGTTTAATATGTGTATGCTGCAAACATTTTTTTCATCACCCTTATCTAAGAATATGGGCATATAGTCCACTTACCCAAGCAAGAGAGAAATGTATATTAGGGGTATTTTGTTGTTGTTAAAATAATTCTTTGAAAGTACCCCCCAAAAAAAATTGGTTAGTGAAATATTAAATCGCATAAAAGAAATGAGAAGCCAGTAAAGGGGAGAACAGTGGAGAAAAACGTGCGTGCTTGTGCTGTGTAGGTACATGTGGAGACAAATGTGCATGCTTGTGTTGTGTAGGTACATGTGAGAGACAAATGTGCATGCTTGTGCTGTGTAGGTACATGTGAGAGAAAAACGTGCATGCTTGTGCTGTGTAGGTACATGTGAGAGACAAATGTGCATGCTTGTGCTGTGTAGGTACATGTGGAGACAAATGTGCATACTTGTGCTGTGTAGGTACATGTGGAGACAAATGTGCATACTTGTGTTGTGTAGGTACATGTGGAGACAAATGTGCATGCTTGTGTTGTGTAGGTAGGTACACGTGAGAGACATTTTACAGAACATTTTACTGGACAGAAAACTGCTAAAAGTGTTTTAAAGTATTAATAGTAGATTAGAAATAAATGTTTTAATGTAGAAATTACTGATCCTTTTTGTAATTTAAAAAAAAAATGAGATATTAATTCTAATGTTGCTGGAGGGTAAATTACTGGCATTTTAAAACAATTTAAATAGATGAGTGACCACCTGGATATTGGCTGTAAGGATAGATATTCATGCTTGTGTAGCCTGTTGTGGCTTAGTTAACAGGGCACATATTGATTGGGCAGTTTTAGGAAAGCTATGCAGGATATGGTTTTATATAACAGTGAAGATGTCTTGAAGGAGGTTAACTGACAAAAACAACTGATTTCCTGCATCAGAAAAAGACAACCTAAATACTTTACACTTCATATGAAGCAGAACACTGGAGTACATGATGACAAAAAGAAAGTTGATTCATGTATTTTCTGTTGTCTGTGTTCACTGTGTAATTTATTCATGTGTATTGTGTTGTCTGTGTTATCACTGTGTCCATTGTTTATGTATATTGTGTTGCCTGTGTTATCACTGTGTCTATTGTTTATGTATTTTCTGTTGTCTGTGTGTTCACTGTGTAATTTATTCATGTATATCATGTTGTCTGTGGTATCACTGTGTCCATTGTTTATGTATATTGTGTTGTCTGTGTTATCACTGTGTCTATTGTTTATGTATATTGTGTTGTCTGTGTGTTCACTCTGTCATTTATTCATGTATTTTCTGTTGTCTGTGTGTTCACTGTGTAATTTATTCATGTATATCATGTTGTCTGTGTTATCACTGTGTCCATTGTTTATGTATTTTGTGTTGTCTGTGTGTTCACTGTATCCATTGTTCATGTGCACTGTATTCTCTGTGTGTTCACTCTGTCATTTATTCATGTATGTTGTGTTAATCATTTGAACAGGGGAGCTAATTGTGGCAGCATATGAAGTCGGGGTATGTATATCATAAGTAATTATTCTTATTTTGGTAAATGTCCCATATCTTAGAGTTAGCTCATTGGTGCAGTTTATTGTCATATAACATTTTATATTTGGTCACAGTTTCTCTCACCATACCTGTTCAATATATACTCAGAAAATATAATGAGGAATGTCAAAAATGACCAGATATGTGACAGTTATGATCTGCTCAAAATTAGTGGCAACCCTATTCCGGAATTCCGCTACGTAAATCACACAGTCCTCCTTTCGAACAGTGTAAAGGGAATAGAAAATTTAATATTGTCTGTCCAAAAGCACAGTGAAGATCAAAATCTGTTCTTGAATTTAAAGAAAATAAAAATAATGTCCACAGATAAAACTGGCTGTCACCCAAAAATAACAATAAATGATGCAGAAATTGAAAATGTCACAAACTTTGAATATCTAGGCACTATTATAAACAGCAATGGAGACTGTTCAACAGAAATTAAAAGGAGGATGGCTATAGCAATGCAAAGATTGAACAGCATTAAAGGTCTATGGTTAAGCACTAGCAAGGAGATAAAAATTAGAATTTTGAGAGCATGCATCTTCCCTGTGGCTACATGTGGATGTGAGTCGTGGACTATCTCTCAGCCATTAAGAAAGAGAATAGGGGCTTTAGAGCTGAAATGCTATAGACAGATTCTCAGAATACCTTGGACAAAGAAGAGGAGAAATATTGATATCTTAAAAGATCTGAACATCAAGAAAGATTGGCTAATAAACAGCATCCTTTCTCCAAAGCTGAAATATTCTGGTAATATCAAGCGCCACAACGGGTTGGAAAAAATTATAGCAGAAGACATGGTACCAGGAAGGAGGGGCAGGGGCCGACCGACACGAAGATGGGCACAGGATATAAGTGACTCCTTGAGTATGAAAGTATATGAGGCAGGAGAACTGACAAGAGACCGAGTTTCTTACAGGCAAACTGTGATGAGAGTGACGTTCTGCAATGGACCTGCTACATGATGATGAACAGTTTCTTTTAAACTTACTACTAGTTTTTTTTGTCATAAATTATTTTGTTATGTAAACAAAAGTTCCCACATTATTTGTAATAGGCATTTATGGTAATGTTGTGTCCTGTCAGTACCTACTCTAGCAAAATAATTTATATTCTAGTCATCAACTTGTGAGATGCAATTTTTGGTTATTTGAAGCCCCACTCTGGCTCTTGCCAGAACATGGTTTCTGGGGCCTCTCCACTGGTGATCTTCATCCACATGGTGGCACTTTGTGTCATCGGGTGTTTATCGCTTGTGTGATGTCCTGGTGGGGTAAAAGTCTACTACTACTACCTACTCTAGTTCTTTTAATTTCAGTTCATTTTATTATTGATCTTTATCTACTACTGCTGCTTTCTATTTTGCTGTAATTAAAAACATAACTTCTATGTTGTCTTTGTCTTCACCATCTTCTTCCTCGTCATCTGCCTCTTCGCTGCTGTCTGCTATGATGTCATCTTATTCATTTTCATCTTCTTCATTGTTGTCATTTTTATCGTCTTTTCCTCCTCCTCCCCTGTTTTTGTGATTGCACACTGAAAATAAATCTAGTTTAGTTTAGATAGAAAGATATGCATCTTTTGGAGAAGGTAAACAAAGTGTGTAACATCTCCAAGATGATTACCTTCATGAGAGACCTGTGGCATAATGCTAATTTAATAGAGAGAGAGAGAGAGAGAGAGCGAGATGGTTGCTTGACTACAATGTATCAAAAGAAGTAGTAGAAAACATACTAAAAGAAAAGAAGAATAAATAACGAAAATATAAATAAATAAAGAAGATTGATTGATTACTCAACCACTTTTAGATGTGTTTAACATCTCATGATGTTCGTGTTCATGAATTACCTTTCCAGGTAGCTCACCCACCTGGGTATCCCTTGTTCACGTTACTTTCCCAGCTGTTTATCTGCTGCATTCCGGTGGGCTCTGTAGCTTGGAAAGTCAACTTGCTGTCTGCCTGCTGTGGGGCTCTATGTGCCTTTGTTGTTTATTTACTTATTTACAGGCAAGTATTGTTTTACTTGAATTTCTTATGTATGTAGTCACACATGTGCTGCTGAGGCCTAGTCAAGTAGCAAGAAATTGTAACTGTGTAACCTACCATACATGTCCTAAGAGGTGACAGAGAAATGCTGTGGTAAGATAGGTGGCCTCACTGTACAGAACATTTTAAGTGCACAATTTAGCCAGTCATAAGCAAGTACAGAACTTCTAAAATGGGCACAAACTCAGTAGCTCCAGTATACAAATTTTACTCGGGAATTTTACCCAAAACTAAGTTCCTGTCATTAATGCCTGATCATGTTTGATCCAAAAAACTTTGTTTTGAATTTACAAAAATGTTTCTCCAACACTGGTTTCCTTTTGTGGTTGCCTGTTAATTTTGGTTGCAAAAACTAGCATCAATTCATATATTTGATGTAGCAGTCTTTTGCAGGATGAATTACAACAAAAACAGATGTCACTTGGTAGTATTACTTTAATATATGATTTATAGAACCTGTTAAGTAGTATGCAAGTGAAACTTGGTCTGTTTGCAGGTGAGCTGAAAAGCAACAAATGGCAGTTTAAATTATTGTTTCTGATTACAATGCACAATGTATCATAGATGGTTAAAAAAAAAGTAACTGAAACAGTCCTACAGGAAACTGTTGAAACCCCAAACTGGTTAGAGAAATTACTTGTAAACAGTCAGGAATGTTTAGAACTAGGTGACAACTGGCAAATAATGAAAAGAGCAAGGTGAAGACAAAGGATTAAATATCCACATGACTTTTTCAAAAGCTGTGGTAAGGACAAGAACATAGACCCGATGCTGACAGTGTGATATTGGGAAGGATGACCCCCTAGACCAGGGCTGTTGGACTAAGTTCACTCAGAGGTCAACAATTTTTAATGGATATCGTTATGGCCAGAGCCACAGCATAGAAAGATCATTAATACTACTGCCAATGATCCATGGGCCACTTGCTAGGCCCCCATGAGCCAGATTTGGCTCGGCCCCCCTGCCACCAGTTAAATAGCCCTGGTCTGGACTATGATCTCTCACAATTGTTTGGTCCGTTGCCTTGTGTTAAACATAAATATGCAGTGCTCCACTTCTGCCTTGTGTAATAGGAAAATAGAAAGATGCAGTGATGAATTTCAAAAATTAGGTCATTACTACGAGTTTAACTTCTGCACAACAGCTGAAATAAGTAGTGATGGTTTTTTCTCTCTTTGAAATCTTAAGCTTTTCTTTTCTTTTTTTTTCTTTCATAGCACCCTTATTAGTCCCCCTCTTCTTCCCCCAACAGCACCATAGACTACTGCTCCTTTCCCATACTCTCTTAAGCCCCCGGATAATTGTATGGGCTTTTTTTTTTTCACTTTAGGAAATTATGATACACAGTTTTTGTGTGAAATATTTGTATTTAGTATTATGTCTGATTTGTGTGCATGCTGAGGTTTAGTTACAGTTCATGTTTTTATTGACTGGTGTTCAATCTGATTTATATGCAGGCTGACTGTTAGTCACAGTTCATGTTTTTATTGACTGGTGTTAAAAGCAGGCTGACTTTCAGTCACAGTTCATGTTTTACTGACTTATGTTCTATTTGATTTATGTGCAGGCTGACTGTCAGTCACAGTTCATGTTTTACTGACTTATGTTCTGTCTGATTTATATGCAGGCTGACTGTCAGTCACAGTTCATGTTTTTATTGACTTATGTTCTATCTGATTTATATGCAGGCTGACTTTCATCACAGTTCATGTTTTACTGACTTATGTTCTATTTGATTTATGTGCAGGCTGACTGTCAGCCACAATTCATGTTTTACTGACTTATGTTCTGTTTGATTTATATGCAGGCTGACTGTCAGTCACAGTTAATGTTTTATTGACTTATGTTCTGTTTGATTTATGTGCAGGCTGACTGTCAGTCACAGTTCATGTTTTACTGTCTTATGTTCTGTTTGATTTATGTGCAGACTGACTGTCAGTCACAGTTCCTGTTTTTATTGACTTATGTTCTGTTTGATTTATGTGCAGGCTGACTGTCAGTCACAGTTTCTGTTTTTATTGACTTATGTTCTGTTTGATTTATGTGCAGGCTGACTGTCAGTCACAGTTTCTGTTTTTATTGACTTATGTTCTGTCTGATTTATGTGCAGGCTGACTGTCAGTCACAGTTTCTGTTTTTATTGACTTGTGTTCTGTCTGATTTATGTGCAGGCTGACTGTCAGTCACAGTTCAAGTTTTTATTGACTTATGTTCTGTCTGATTTATGTGCAGGCTGACTGTCAGTCACAGTTTCTGTTTTTATTGACTTGTGTTCTGTCTGATTTATGTGCAGGCTGACTGTCAGTCACAGTTTCTGTTTTTATTGACTTATGTTCTGTCTGATTTATGTGCAGGCTGACTGTAAGTCACAGTTTCTGTTTTTATTGACTTATGTTCTGTCTGATTTATGTGCAGGCTGACTGTCAGTTACAGTTTCTGTTTTTATTGACTTATGTTCTGTTTGATTTATGTGCAGGCTGACTGTCAGTCACAGTTCAAGTTTTTATTGACTTATGTTCTGTCTGATTTATGTGCAGGCTGACTGTCAGTCACAGTTCAAGTTTTTATTGACTTATGTTCTGTCTGATTTATGTGCAGGCTGACTGTCAGTCACAGTTCAAGTCTGCTAGGAGCATGCTTGTTCAGCTTCAGTAGACTCACGTGGACCTGGTCAGTCAGTGCAGAAGTGTTCTCTCTCAACAACTTGCTTGTGGCTTGTTTGATGCTGGTGGCAGTCAAGTTTGATGGTGCTGAACAAGAGTCCCTAGTTCAGGTATGTATCTTGTCTACACCTCATGCTGACACATGTAACTGGCTGTGAGCCCTGAAACATTAGTAAACATGGCAGCAAAACTCATTCTTACAAGTTTTCAGAATGTTTGAAATTTCTTGACGTCAAACTGGCTTTAAAAAACAGTTTGGTTCACCTTTACTGGCAAGAAAATTATCTGCTATTTCCTAACCTCCTAAACACTAGGCGCGAACACAACCAATGGCATTAACTAGTTGTCTCATAAAATGACACTGTTGGCAAGCTGGTTAAGTTACATTTATGGGTGATTGGACCCAGCCAGAAGTGTTAGTTCTTGAGGCGTTTTGAGACAGCAACTTTAGAATAAAAATCTTTAAAGCTGAGATTTGAAGGAACCATTAGGATGCAGTGAATTAATGTAACAACTGTATGTTACATAAACAGTTAGGGAAAGTATAATGCACATTGGGGCAGGCAGTAAGCATATAGTGCATAGCTGGCTACAGAAAGATTTCGCTTGGCATTGTATAACTGGTAGCAGAGATATCTTGGAAAGGATGGGAACTAAGAAGCTCACTGCATCATACAGTGGTGGAAGCAAGTATATGTGAATTCATGAAAGTACATAACCAATTTGTGGACATAATCTTTTAATTTCGTTTAAAAAAAAAAGATTTAAATATCCTGCGTGACATGTGCATATACACTCCCGCACACATACACAATCACAAATTGTTATGCATACACACACTCTTAAAAATAACATCTATACTGAGTTGGGTATTTGATAATCAATGAGAGTTAAGACTTACCACTGATGGGCAGATGTTCCAGGTTCAGTGACATTGATTTCTTTATCATAAATTAATAACAATAGGTAATGGTAGTTTGTCTGCAGCCAGCTACTTACACAGTGGGCAGATTTTTGCTAACTGTGCTGGAGGGATCGTGAGTGTCATTGTCACAAAATAAAGGAATTTCAAATGTTCAAATCTCTCTTCATTGGTTACTTTTCCACACACAAAAAATGGGCTGGGGGGGTGGGGGGGGGGGGGGGGGTAATCAGTGGACTAAAAGCCTGGCATGTGTTCGGCACCCAATTGAGGGGTGCCCTGACAAGCATGTGTTAAAAGGTGACTGATTTAAGTTTGCTGAAAGTGGATGTGTTGGCCCAAAAAGAGCAGATATTAAAGCCTATCTGTAAACCACAACATAACGTGCCAACTGCTCTTTTAAGGGTAAACGCAGAAAAAGAAGAAGAAGAATTAGCTGAAAAATAAAAATAATGTTTAAATCATTATTTTTGTCTACTCTCAAATAAGTCTAACTACAAAATCAAGACAAATAGCTTCTTTATTTGGCTATAGAAAGTCGCAGATGGTTATATCCATCATACTGGCTCAGATAACAAGTAGGCAGAATGGATATATCCTTCATACAGGCTCAGATAACAACTAGGCAAAATGGAAATATCTATTATACCGGCTCAGATAACAACTAAGCAAAATAGATCTATCCATCATTTGAAGGATTTTTGCTACTTTAATTGTATTTTCTGTTTGCTGTTTTTTTTTCTGGACACCTAGTGGGCATTGATGGGATCATTTGTGTGTGGGCTGTGCTTGTCCAACCAACATACCAGTGTTGTGTATGTGGCTGTCATGGTACCCTGGGCACTGTACAGACTATGGAAGAATCAGGTCAGTAATGTACTGCATGTAAACTACATTGTCTTAGTGTGTTGCTGGATAATTTTCTTTTTTAAAGGAGTATTCACATTGAGTATTATGACTGAGTGTTGTTAACATTCTGGATTGCATACGAAGACAGCAAGTGAAATGGTTTGCCCACTTAGAGAGAATGCCTTGTGACACCATACCATACAAAGCATACATGGAAAGAGAAGAAGGACGTAGAGCATGAGGTAGACCAAGAACAAGATGGAAGGATAACATCAGAGAAACTTTACAACAGCACTATGTGCCTATGGTCGAGGCCGCCAGAAGAGCTAGAAACAGAACCTTATATCTCCCTCGACACCCACAGCGGTAAAAGAGGAAGTGAAGAAGAAGAAGAAGAAGTTGTTAACATTTTACCTCGAGAATGTTACCTCTTTCTGTTTGGAATTTGTGTGTCAGTCATTGTAAAATTTATTATGTTTAATACACAGTCTGGCCATTAAATAATGAGACTGATTTTTATTATGACCAAGACAAAATTACCATCTATGAAGTAAAGTTATCCAAACAAGCAGCATTCATTTATGATCTGGCAGTATTTTAACGCCCCCTGGTGTGCAGATTACAAGCAACCTTCCAAATTCTGTGATGACATTGTATATTTTCTGCAGTAAACTATATTTGAAGTAAAAGGAGGATGGCCATGCAGACATTAAACAGCATTAAAAGTCTTGGTTGTGCACCTGCAAGGAAATCAAAGTCACAATTTTGACGGCATGCATCTTCCTTATAGCAATATATAGGTATGAGTTGTGGACTATCTCACTTCCTTAAGGAAGAAAATAAAAGCTTTTAAGCTGAAATGCTATAGAAAGATTCTAAGAGTACCATAGGCAACGAAGAAAAGAAATACAGACAACCTAAAAGATGTAAACATCAAAGTTGATTAGCTAGAAAAGAGCATCTTGCCTCTGAAAGGAAAATGTTGGCCATGTGAAGCTCCACAGCGAATTTAACAAATAATAATAGAAGGAATATTACCAGGAGAGAGGTGCAGGGGCTGACCAGTACAAGACGGGCACAGAATATGACTCCATGGGTGGGAAAGCACATGTGGAGAAAGAGCTGGCAAAAGAAAGATTTTCTTTCAGGAAGACTGATGAGAGTTCCATTCTGCAAAGGACTTGTTACCAGATGATGAAACTATATCTGAAACTTAGTGATAATAATCTGTATTTTGTACAGTGAAGTTTGCATACTTCACTGAGTTTCCTAGTTACTCTGTGATAAAGTTCTGATTTTTCTGCAGCAAACTGTATCTGGGGAACCAATAGACTCATTTTATAGACTATTTGGCACTCACTGGACTATGTGGTCAGCATTATGCTGGTCACCTTTACTAACCAGGACTTTTCCTGGTTTTCAGTTTAGACTGTATTGACCTGGGAGCCAAGTTTATTTTTATTTTCAAAATCTGTCTGGTGTGGAGTGCAACCCAAGTAAAAAGCAGAAAAATGAAGTATTTGATACTCTGCAATAATATTCTGTTTTCTGCAGCAAACTGTACCTGATTCTCTGTTATAATATTCTATATTTTCTGCAGTGAACTATGTTAAATTTTCTGTGATAATGTTCTATACTCTCTGCAGTTAACTCTAATTCTGTGTAATGATGTTTTGGATTTTCTGCAGTAAACTGTATTTCATACTCTATTTGTTTATTCATTTTTTTCTAGTAAACTGTATGCTATTCAGTAACAGCAGTGTTCCATATTTTCAGCATTTAACACCAGCAGTCATAGTCAAGCTGACTGTAGCATTGATGTGTGGACTTTTGCCTTACATCTACTTGCCTGTGGCAGCTCACATGCACATTGCCAGATGGACCTGGGGTGACCAGAGAACACTTATGGGTTTCTTGACCCACTTGTTGCGTATGGAGTATGGCACTTGGGATCTGGTAAGTAGTAGATTATCCATACATAGAAGTTGACCAGCGTGAAGAATAATCATATCTGTTGCATTTAGTTCCATCACATTACATGATAAGAAAAAAATCTCGTATATTTTTAGGTTGTTGTTCATCCCTCACAATATAGGTCATTCACTTGTGGGATGCAGTTTTTCGTTATTTGAAGCCCCATCCTGGCTGTTGCCGGGGGCCCTGAATATAGCTGGGCTACAATTGTGGCCATAGCTGCTGAAAGGGGTTTCTGGGACCTCTCCACGAGTTATCATCATCCACATGGTAGCACTTTGTGTAACCTGGTGTTTATCACTTATTTGATGTCCTGATGGGGTACAACAAGCAAGCTTCCATCACAGCGATGAGGACCACTCTCTCTTTCATCCATCGTGAAACTATAGTTGATTGTCTTTGAGTCTGTGTCTTATTAACCCCATTTAGGCCTAAAGGATCTAGGACACTGAGGAAAGAGAACAGTGAAATGAATGAAAAGAGTGAATTGTGCGATGAATTGGTTTAAAGTAAAGAAGAGTTGCACAATTTTATCGACCTCTCTCACCTGTGTCCTTCAATATGATTTATACTTTGTGTGTTCACTATCTTCAAACTACAATTCAAGGAGCAGATATGGTATGTTTTCATTTTTGTCAACCATCAGTGTTGACCATATTAATGTAAGTTATTGTTAGCTTCTGGTCCAGCTGTTCATGTCGGTAGCATTCACTGGTTGTAAACTCCAGTGGAAAGTCCTGGTTGTTTGTCTGTGTTTGGACTTTGGTCTTGTTCCATGACTTGAGTATTGCTTACATATCCATTTTACACATCTGTCTTATGTATGCAGACTAATTGTGCCCATGTGGACTAGCACTCTAGAATACTGAACATGTTCTGCAAACAGGCTTCAAACATTCATCAGGGAGATCTCAGGTCTGGCCACTTAGCATCAGGAAAATCTCAGGTCTGGCCACTTAGCATCAGGAAAATCTCAGGTCTGGCCACTTAGTATCAGGGAGATCTCAGGTCTGGCCACTTAGTATCAGGGAAATCTCAGGTCTGGCCAGTTAGCATCAGGGAAATCTCAGGTCTGGCCACTTAGTATCAGGGAAATTTGAGGTCTGGCCAGTTAGCATCAGGGAGATTTCAGGTCTGGCCAGTTAGCATCAGGGAAATCTCAGGTCCGGCCAGTTAGCATTAGGGAGATCTCAGGTCTGGCCAGTTAGCATCAGGGAGATCTCAGGTCTGGCCACTTAGTATCAGGAAGATCACAGGTCTGGCCAGTTAGCATCAGGGAGATCACAGATCTGGCCAGTTAACATCAGGGAGATCACAGGTCTGGTCAGTTAGCATCAGGGAGATCACAGGTCTGGCCAGTTAACATCAGGGAGATCACAGGTCTGGTCAGTTAGCATCAGGGAGATCTCAGGTCTGGCCAGTTAGCATTCTGTGGAAACCACGCTGTATGGTTTAGTAGAAAACATGCATCGCGCCACAGCTTCATATAGGCCTGAAGCCTTCTGACTGAAAAACTACTGGCAGGGAGAACAAAAAAATAAGGAGAAGTATTCTGACTGTTTGTCCGTGCTTTTCTGACAAATGATGTCCGACTCCAAGGGAAATGCCTATCCTGTCTATTTTGGCCAGATCCCCCCCCCCCCACCCCTGGTAGGGAACTTGTTCCTAAGATTACGACAGAGGAGTTGATAGTTATTGACCAATTTGAGCCATGGTCCTCCTGCTATCACAGATGGTGATACAACTATGCATCCCTCTGGTCTAGTAAACAGTACAGTAACGTTAACTCCATAGACCTACTTTCTCTAGTTTGTGCTCTTCATACTGACAGTACCTTAACTCTTACACATAAATTGATGCTGTTTTAACTCATATACATAAATAGAATGTGACTGAGACTTTGTTGTCCCTCCAGTATTTAGCTATAAATGTTGACCAAATAATATGATTCATACAAAGATAAAGAATACACAGAATAGGGAAAAACTCCATAAAGTCCTATCTGGCATTTGGTATTATTGTTTGCTTACAGTTGAAGAACCATACTGGTCAGGGCTTGTTTCCTGGTTTATTGTAAGTACGCCTGCTCTTCTTAATCAAAATACACAATTAGCTGAAATGTATAGTGTTTGTATTTACTAGAGAAGTGCATGCGCAGGTGTAATCAGAAATGTTACAATTGTGACATAGGTTGTGTAGTAATAAATTCATCAGCAGTTTTTGGCATAGAGTAAATGTAACCGAAAACTTCACACTCCAACAAGAGTTTTTACAGGACGTTGCAGAACCAACCCTAACAGCCCCTAGCTATTGTGTGGTTTTTCTAGGCAAATTTACGTCCAGTAGTTTGCCATTGCTTTCTGGACGGTCAGCTTTCTTGATACCACTGTCGAAACCAACGCAAGGTGCATGGCCTGCAGCTGGGATCGAACACGGCATCCAGGCATTACGAAGTGTTCGCATCGACTATGCCACCTAGCTGACCCAACAAGAGTAAATAAATTTTAAAAAAAGTGATGGTAAATTAGTTTTAAGTTTAAACAACAGATCAACATCATGGCACAAGGGTAGTAACCCATAAGTGCTCCATTCTACATCTAACTCAAGCCTGAGTCCGAAGAATCTCACCACAGTGCATGAAATCCGTAGCACGGGCAAGGATTCTGAAATACTTTGGGTAGATTTTTAACTCCAAATTTAGCCCGTGCAGTGCTGTTAGGCTACTCTTTTCGATTTCCAAACGCCAAGGGATCTTTTACATGTGCAGCAGCACACAGGGGCATCCAATCTTACTACCCAGAGACCAGGGGAAATTACTTGACGTCCACGTGAAAAAATTGCAGCCCTTACCGGGGCTTGAACCAGGGTCCTCCAGCACTTGAGGCGGACGCCATGTCCCGAGAGCCCTTTCTATGATGATGGTAAATTGCATTTAAAAAAAAATATTTTTTTTGCACACTGCTAAAGTCACTAAAATTGTGGTCCTAATATTCTGTCCACTGATTCTGTTTTGCAGAGCTTATACCACACATATGTCATGTGAAGTGTCCTTGCTGATGGCCGTGTTAGCTGTTTTTTCTTTCATTTCAGTTTATCACAGGTATGTTTCTCTTGTCTTCTGTTTCCTTCATTGATAATGGAATGAGCAGATGTAAAGTCACATTGAAGCTCTGGTGGTGAGTGTAAGAAAGTGTTGTCTTTTGTGGGAAGAAATACAGAAATACAGTTCTAGAGATGCTGGGATTGGGGGGGAACAAGGGCTGATGATTGCAATAGACAAAAGGCATCATGTAATATTTTGTCCACATTAAAAGATATGCGAACATAAATTCAGAACCTGCACACTTCAGGTTTAATGTAGACCTGAATTCTCAGGCACACAGTATCTTCCCTCCCTACAGTAGCTTAAACAATGGTAAAATAAGAGCAGTAAGTCTTTTAAGTTTAAGTGACTTCTGTAGTGAAGGGAAACTTGGAGACAGACAAGGAAAAAGTAGACAACGATACATGTGGGAAGATAACTTCTTAAGAGAGAGAGAGAGATAAACAGTTTTTGGTCAGATTGCACAAATAGGGCAAGAGATGGAGGGTGTTGGAGATCCATTGCAGCCAGCCTTAGTGTAGTGACAGTACCTGACTGACTGACTGTAGAAACTGTAAGTGAAGGGCCCCTTTTTATACAATAAGACTTTCTGGGTATATGGTTTGGTCTCATAGTTTTAGACTAATGTGCATTAGCTGAATGATGTCACTATCACACAAGCTGCCTTTACTGCCAAGGATATTTTCTTCTGACTATTTTAGGCTGTTTGAACTTGGAGTTCAGTTACATATGCTAGCCACTGCGCTACCCACCTTACGTGTACTGGACTTCTTCTTCTACTCATTATCCCTTAGTCCTGTTGTCCAGTAGCACTTAAAAATGGATCATAGCCTCATAGAGATTCCTGGAAAAAATGTACACAGGCCACTGAAAAATTAAAAAAAAACACAATAAAGTTTGTCTACATTTTAAATATTTGTTTTTTGAAATTTCTAAAAACACATAAAAGGATTAACTCTTTGAGTCCCAAGGAATGCATCATACGTTCATAGATTCCTACCTAGAGGCCCAATGAACGCATGATGTGCCAATTTAACGTCTCTTTTGACTACCCCTTGGGCCTGTGATGCTAAACCCCCTGGGACTCAAAGAGTTAACTAAAACAAAGAATTATCTCAAGATAATACGGCATCTGTGCATTCAGTATCAGTTGTCTTCCATCCCCATATGGGCTCTAGGGCCCCATTGTGGGGAAAACAAAAATAGATGCACTGCCAGTCTAGTAAGCATGTTGTACGTGTCAACTGATTGTTAGCTTCCTTCGAAGTCAGAATACATCTGCAAATAAGCTGTAAAATAGATGTACACCCAAAACTCAGGCTCTGGCACAAAGCCAAAGTCCAAATGGATGAACAACCAAGACCTTCAGCCGGAGCTTAAAGCCAGTGAACAAATAAGATATGAATTTGTTTCCCACTGTTTCTGATACAAGACAAACATGGTTGTTGTTATGTTTTACATCATGTTGGTTAAAGAAGTTGTTTTCCCACTGTTGCAGATACAAGACAAACATGGTAGTTGTTATGTTTTACATCACGTTCGTTAAAGAAGTTGTTTTCCCACTGTTGCAGATACAAGACAAACATGGTAGTGTTATGTTTTACATCACGTTGGTTAAAGAAGTTGTTTTCCCACTGTTGCAGATACAAGACAAACATGGTTTTTGTTATGTTTTACATCACGTTCGTTAAAGAAGTTGTTTTCCCACTGTTGCAGATACAAGACAAACATGGTTGTTGTTATGTTTTACGTCACGTTGGTTAAAGAAGTTGTTTTCCCACTGTTGCAGATACAAGACAAACATGGTAGTTGTTATGTTTTACATCATGTTGTTTCTTTACCTGGTTTTCTTTTGCTGGAGAGCAAATCTGGATATTAAGGACCCTCTTTTGTTTCGAGTGGTGAGTTCTGCAATTGTTAGTGATATTGTTTTATCAGAGGATTGTCTATAAACTTGTGTACATTAATTGAAGAATCATGTTATGCTGACTCTGTGATCAGGCAAGGATTGATAACAAAGACCTGAGGGAGTTAATCAACAGATTGTTCTCATTGCACATCAGACAAGTCCATAAGTGCTCTGATTCCATCTTCAGTAGATCCTCAAGCATTTAGCCACTGGTAACACCTGTGTTTGTTTTTTCTTTGGCTACCTGTCTCCTGAACCAACTACCCATCCTGCTTCCTTGAGTACATGGAGAATATCAGCCTGGTCCATTGCTTGTCCCATACATACCATGTCCCATACATACCATGTCCCATACATACCATGTCCCATACATACCATGTCTCTGCCAGCAAGCCAATCCGCTTATTGACTCAAACCCCAGAGTGTTGTGACACAAATATAAAATTGATTCCTGTCAGAGGAGATTTCCTCAGGGAATCCAGCCATTGTCTTTGAATCCATCCTGTCTCTGTCTGTCTGTTTGTCTGTCTGTCTCTAACAAAGACCTGCAGTCACAATGAAAATTTAAAATAGGGATATTTTGAGAATTGCCCTGTTCTTATCTTCACTCTCTCTCATGGATTGTGAAACATATTTGAAGAAAACTACATCTCACCCCGTCTCTCATTCTGAGAATGTGAGAATTTTTGGTAATGGAGAGGTTAGGTAAGCTGTTTAACTTCAGAGATGTTAAATAGGTGCTGTTTGGAATAAAACCTTCCTTAACAGAAGCAGGAAGTATCATTTATCCTGAATGCAGAAGACGAGTGGTTCTAGAGATAAAATTTCACTTGCATTGGCAGATAATATAATCACTGAGCATGTCACTAAAATCTATTGTGAAAAACATTTGTTTGAATAGGCATCATTTATTGTGTAGAATATTTTTTTTGATCTGTTTTGTAGAACATTTACATCATAAATTGTGTAAAACATGTACATCTCCATAGTGCAGAATATATACATCATCTATAAGGCCGAACATGTACATCATATATTGTGTGAGACATGTTCATCATATATTGTGTAAGACATGTGCATCATATATACATCAGAACATGTACATCATATATACATCAGAACATGTACATCATGTATTGTATAAGACATGTACATTATATATACATCAGAATATGTACTTTATATATTGGTAAGACATGTACATCATATATACATCAGAATATGTACTTCATATATTGTGTAAGACATGTACATCATATATACATCAGAATATGTACTTCATATATTGTGTAAGACATGTACATCATATATACATCAGAACATGTTCATCATATATTGTGTAAGACATGTACATCATATATACATCAAAATATGTACTTCATATATTGTGTAAGACATGTACATCATATATACATCAGAACATGTTCATCATATATTGTGTAAGACATGTACATCATATATACATCAGAACATGTACATCATATATTGTGTAAGAAATGTACATCATATATACATCAGAACATGTGTATCGTGTAAGACATGTACATTATATGTTGTGTAGAACATGAACATCATCCATTGTGTAGAACATGAACATCATCCATTGCGTAGAACATGAACATCATCCATTGTGTAGAACATGAACATCATCCATTGTGTAGAACGTGAACATCATCCATTGTGTAGAACGTGAACATCATCCATTGTGTAGAACATGAACATCATCCATTGTGTAGAACATGAACATCATCCATTGTGTAGAACATGAACATCATCCATTGTGTAGAACATGAACATCATCCATTGTGTAGAACATGAACATCATCCATTGTGTAGAACGTGAACATCATCCATTGTGTAGAACATGAACATCATCCATTGTGTAGAACATGAACATCATCCATTGTGTAGAACATGAACATCATCCATTGTGTAGAACGTGTACTTGAACATTACATGTGTTGGCAGGTTGAGAGATTCTGGATGCAGGCTGATCTTGTCGTCATTGTCCTGGCTTCAGTGACATTCTCTGATATCTGCAGGTAATGTCTAAAATCTTTATGGCTAAATACTTAGGGAATTATTAATTGCACAGAGAAAATTGACTTTGTATAATGTTTGGGTACATCAGCTTTCACTCTATCCTTTTTTGCAGACGATCAAGCCCTCAGGGCAAATACAGAGGAGAGGCTGCAGAGATGCTTAACTCAACATGGCAGCAAAAGCACAAAACATGAAAGTTAATATTGAAAAACCGAAGAAAAAAACAATTGCAAAAACAAAATAACCAGAACCAATCAAGATATGCATACAAAACCAACAACTCAAGCAAGCAAAAGACTTTTTAGTATTTAGGGAGCATAATATCATCCAGTGGAAGAATGGAAGCAGAGATGGATCATTGATGTGGTAAAGCAAAACAAATCATTGGACACATTTCACAAATTTTTGCAGAACAAACATGTAACAGTTGACACAAAAAGAGCACTATTCAGTACAGTATTTTTATCAATATTGTGTTATCGGTGTCAAACATGGACATTAACAGCAAATGACAAATCAAAACAACAGAATTGAAATGTCTGTGGTGAATCCTAAGTGTAATTAGAAAAGACAGGATCAGAAATGATGATATTAGGACAGAATTTTGGATGAAACCAGCATTAAACTACATCAAGAGACAACAGACAAAGGGTTAGAGCATGTGTCAAGACTACCACCAGAGAGCCCTGTCACTTAACCCTAATGGTCCTATCACTTACACTTAATGGAGGTCGACCAGGCAGGTGGTGGAAAGATGAAATAGCCGAAGCGATAAATACCAGTATTTGCGTAACACATACCAAGACTTTCACCAGATGCTTCTTCATTACCTGACGCTGAAAGCAGAACAGAACTAGAGAAGATGAAGATGATAAAGAAGAAGATGGTGAAAAAGAAGATGGTGAAGAAGAAGAAGAATTGGCTTTAAAAATGCTTAAGAATTCTCTTGATGACTTTACCTGAAGGAACATTTATTTCTTTGCTTGCTCAGAATTATTGGAAACAGCTGGAATATTGACAGGCTACCGCTAGACATGATTCTTGTTCTGGCAGTCATTGGGTCACATCTGTCTAACGTGAGTATATGGATTTATGTGCCTGTTTGTATGGTTACATTCTTGGGAAAGGAGAAAAGAATGATTAGGTTATACCATTATAGTGCTTACAATATACTGACTTGGTGGCTACGATATGCTGACATGGTGGTTAGGATATGCTGACATAGTGGTTTGAATATACTTACATGGTGGTTAAGATATGCTGACTTGGTGGTTAGAATATACTGACATGGTGGTTAGGATATTCGGACTTGGTGGTTAGGATATGCTGACATGGTTAGGATATGCTGACATGGTGGTTAGTATATGCTGACATTGTGGTTAGGATATACTGACTTGGTGGTTAGGATATGCTGACTTGGTGGTTAGGATATGCTGACTTGGTGGTTAGAATATACTGACATGGTGGTTAGGATATGCTGACATGGTGGTTAGGATATACTGACTTGGTGGTTAGGATATGCTGACATGGTGGTTAGGATATGCTGACATGATGGTTAGGATATGCTGACATGGTGGTTAGGATATGCTGACATGGTGGTTAGGATATGCTGACATGGTGGTTAGAATATGCTGACATGGTGGTTAGGATATGCTGACATGGTGGTTAGAATATGCTGACATGGTGGTTAGAATATGCTGACTTGGTGGTTAGGATATACTGACATGGTGGTAAGAATATGCTGACATGGTGGTTAGGAAATGCTGACATGGTGGTTAGGATATACTGACATGGTGGTTAGGATATGTGGACTTAGTGGTTAGGAAATGCTGACTTGGTGGTTAGGATATGCTGACATGGTGGTTAGAATATGCTGACATGGTGGTTAGGATATACTGACATGGTGGTTAGGATATGTGGACTTGGTGGTTAGGATATTCGAACTTGGTGGTTAGAATATACTGACATGGTGGTTAGGATATGCTGACTTGGTGGTTAGAATATACTGACATGATGGTTAGTTATCTGACATGGTGGTTAGGATATTTGGACTTGGTGGTTAGAATATACTGACATGGTGGTTAGAATATACTGACATGGTAGTTAGTATATGCTGACATGGTGGTTAGAATATACTGACATGGTGGTTAGGATATACTGACATGGTGGTTAGGATATGCTGACATGGTGGTTAAGATATACTGACATGGTGGTTAGGATATGCTGACATGGTGGTTAGGATATGCTGACATGGTGGTTAGGATATGCTGACATGGTGGTTAGAATATACCAGCATGGTAATTTGCATATACCTCTGTGGTGGAAAAAGGGGGGGGGGGGCATCAACATGGTTTGCCTATATGGACAAGGTTGTTAGTGTGTATGTGGATATGGTGGTAGATATACAAACATGGTGGTTAGTATAAATGCATATGATGGTTTGTGTATATGAACACTGTGGTTAGCACATATGGACATGAAAAAAGCGGTGAGAACGGGGATCGCTGCAGTCCAGCTAATACCAAGAAATGAATCAAAGGAACTGTGACTAAAAACGTTTTGCAAAAGACGTTTCGGCCAGGGCCTTTCTCAGCATGAACAACAATACAGTAACATAAAGCAAAGTGCTCCAACAACTAGTGCCCACCAGGGGGCACATAAATAATTGTAATATATAGGAAAACAGTGATGTGGATTGGACAAAATAAAATAAATGGAGGAGGAAAAATTGTAATAAAAGTAATAATGACAATATATAATAGTAGAAAGGATATAAATACTCATAATTCATTACAAATAGAATAAAATATTTAAAAAAATAAGAATTGTAAAATTGTTGAGGTGAAGGTATGCTGAACATTGATACTTGCTGCACTTAGATGTTTATTGCTTTCGATTTGATACTTGCTGCACTTAGATGTTTATTGCTTTCGATTTCTCGCTCGGGTTGTACACTCCAACAAGCTTTATCTCTTTATGTTATCTTTGTGTGTAAGCTCCTGGACTTTCCTAGAACTAATTTGTTTGGTCAAATGGGACAGGGAATGTCATTTTGTGTGATTTTCACTGGCACAAGAATGGAGCATTTATCTGTATTCATTTGCAAGGATGGATGTGTGTGTTATTCTATTAAAGTAAAATGATGCTATTGTTGACGTTATTCTCAACAAAGCTTGATGAAATTTTTTATTGTAATTATCAGCAGTGATTGATTACAAGTAAAGTTGATGACACTGCTGACTGTATTCATAAACAAAAACTAATTATTTTTATTGACATTGCTATCTTGATTCATCAACAAAAACTTATGACAGGTAAAACTGATCACATTGCTGACTTTATTCGTCCCCATATCTTTCAGAAACAACTCTGGAATACATGTGATCATAGCAGCAATTTTGTGGTCCATGATTTTGCAGTCCAGACATTACAGACATTCCCTTCCCAAGCTATAGTTCTGACTAAAGGAGACTTGCCGTCTAACAGTTTCAGGTATATGTTAGCTTCAGACGACTAGAAATGTATGATTTCATTTACGTATCTAAGAATCCCATTTCATCACTATTAATGTGTTTCCAGGCATATGGTTGCTTTTGAGCTGAAATGCTTTAGATTCTCAAAATGCCATGGACCAAGGAAAAAAAAAAGAGATGCTGACATCCTAAAAGATCTGAAAATCAAGGAAGTCAACATCTTGTCCCAGAAACTGTCATATTTTGGTCATATCAAGCACCACTGCGGATGGAAAAGAATAGTAGGAGAAGGCATCTTGTCAGGAAAGAGGGCCAGGGGTTGACCAGCCTGAAGATGGGCACATGATATAAGTAGGAAAGTGCACAAGTGGGACATGGGGTGATAGACTGAGTTTCTTTCAGGCAGACTATGATGAGAGAAACATTCTGCAAAAGTACTACTTGATGTTGATTGGCATATGGTGCTAGCCTAGTATTGTATATCTTTATTATATCTGTAGGGCATTGTGTTCCCCCTTTTAGTTTGTGGATATGAATATCAGAGACATTGTATTTGTGTTCATGCATGAGACAGTCAGGGTATGTCGTGCATGGCATGTTACATGTCTTACTGCTGTGAGAGATATTGTAATGTTTTCCACTGTGAAACATTGGTGAGTAATTTACTTTTGAATGCTGGGAAGGTCAAACTTGTGACCATACATACTATTGTGTCCTTATACGAGAATCAGACCCAGTTGTAGGCGCAAAAGGAATGGACCCACTGCCCTCCCACTCCACCCCAACAAGCATGTCATGAAAGTAGTCTAATTATGGATGTTTCCTTCAAAGTCCAAATGCAAAGAACCAACAGTCTGCATACAGAAAGCCCAGATCTGTAAAATGGATGTGCAGGCACAAATGCAGTTATGGAGCAAGACTAAATTTCAGAAGTAGACAAATACTTTCGGCCAAAGTTTACAGCCTGTGATTGCAAAGAAGATAATACTGTGACTTAGTATGTATGAATTATACCAGCCAAATCAATGGAAGAAATTCAGAATGAACTCGGTACAACTATCGTTGAACAGTCATAATACCATATTCAAGCTGTCTTGAGGAGGTTAGAAGAAGAATCCCTGGGTGAAAAGATTTTTGCCCGATACAAAATGTATGTGCCAGTTTACAACAACAATAAAAAGATGTCAGTTGCAACAAGAAAAAGAGTAGTAGGATCTGTGTTGTTGTAGGCATGTGAAGCATGGATAGTTTTCAGACAACCTGGAAAACTGTTTAGAAATATTAAAGTAGATAAAGTTTTAAACTTGTTATTGGAAAGAAGAATCCTGTCAGACACCTTTTATAGGTGTGACACAAGTACCCTAGTTATTTGTGCCAGTGTACCAACACTTTCATGAACATGTAAAAGCTGATGGCCTTGTTCCAGTTCACAAAGAATGTTTGTTTAAGTACTCATGATAATTGCAAAGTTAGTATGGCTTCCAACTTGAGACTTCATAACATCACGGCATATGAAGCGACTGAGCGCGCCCTGGCTCGGTTGCCGATCATCTGATAGACTGCGACGCCTAGCGGCACAAGCAGATTTTGACAAAAGAAGAAGAAGAAGAAGTATGGCTTCCACACAACGTTATCGACTACTGAGTAGCCACCCATTTTATTCCTATGGCTCACACGCACACTAATCCCAGGTAGTCACTGGCTAAATACATCAACAGTATGCTGGTATAGCTGATCACAAATCATCCTCACAATATGAACAAAGTCATGAGAGGCTAGCGGATGCTTCTATAGAAATAATTACGTATCATCCTGGCTACCACACTTTACTTTATAATCCGGCTACACAATAGAAACACTTGACACCAGTATGAATAACCACTACTGTTCTGTCCACAGTTTCAACTCCAGTCCATTCCAAGCGAAAAACAATTCCCACATTTAAAAGGGACCAAAACAAACCCATCCGTTCACTGGACTGTCCAACTACTAACTGCCGTGTGTTGCTCTACCTGTTTGTCAAGTTCCCTTGTAACCTCCTCACTCAGTGACCTGTATCGCCCTGCACACAACCCGTCTGACCAGTAATTGACCTGTCTGCTATTATGAGTCAGTCTAGTCGTTGCTTGTCTTTCTCTCACAGTGTGTGGTAAAGTTGACTCATGACAAATCCAAACCTACACAGTCGGTGGCAACTGCACTAGCCATGCGGCCATAAATCCTCAGGCTCGAAGAACCTCCTGCTTACATTAAAATGTGTTAAATACAGACATTAACTAGGATAAGAACACATGATTAGGGATTCTAGAGGTCATGTGAAGTGATAAACCATAACTTCCATTGCTTATCATGGCACATAATGATATATATATATATGTGATAAAGTAAAAAAAAAAAAAGTACAGTAAAGAACCCTTTTCACGCCTAAGGCGCATCGGGTATATGGGAAGAGTGTCCCATATTTTTACAGACCAATCGGCACTGAATGGGTAATGTGGTCAGCATTACGCCGGCCGTCTTTACTTTCCCAGGACAGGCATCCTGGTATGCATTTTAGGCTGGGTCGACCTGCGACGCCTCATACCATAATAAAAATCCACGCAGCCAGCAGTGGGTTTTGATCGCGGTACGTTGGAGATATATGTGAAGTAATGAATAATTATACACTTCACTGCAGTAATTGTGGTATTACTTCTACCTGCTGAGTTAAACAAACTTTAGGCAAAGATGATTCAGAATAGACTGGTTACATTTTAGTATTTTAAGATAACATGGAGTGTAATTTATTTTCACTGTTTCCATTTACAGTATTTTGATCGGGTGAAGTTATGAAATTGGGACTACAAATAAGTTATCAAGCAGATGTAACACTAGATACAACAAGAATTCAATTAACAGATCAGTTGACCTATTTGTTTAATGTTAGTTGACACACATCAGCAAGTTATCAGAGCTTTTAAAAGCCTTATCAAAATATGGAACTATAAATTTAAAACCAGGTTACATATTTTCAATTCTAATGGTATTTCAGTTTTAACAAATGCGGGTGATAGTTGGAGAACCACTGAAGACATGGAACAAAAGTTCAGTGCATTTGAAAGCAAATGTCCAAGGAAAATATTGAACATGGAAGGGGAAAAATAAAAGAAATGTCTAAGCGACCTCTAGTAACAACAGTAATAAGACAAAAAAGATGATGCTATATTTCACCACATTTTGAGAAGATAGGAGCAGAGAATCACCAAGCAGACACTAAAATGGGAAATGGATTTATTAAGGAACCAAAGACACTCAAAAGAAATCCTTAAAATGAACATTGATGAGAGAGGCGAAAGGTACTCGACTGGAATCAAGGGATTGCACAGTATGAATGAAATGTAGAAATAGATGTGAGCCCTTTGTGATGGCACAACAGGTCAATGATGATTATGAAATTATTTTGAACTTTCAGGGGCACACATTAACATGCTTACTATCTCAGTGATGGGATAAAAGTTAACTGTATTGATGAGTTTGATCTTATGAAATCATCATTCACTCAGCAAGGTCTTTACTGAATATTGCTCAGTTCATAGGATGTCTGAAATTCTCTCTTTCTCTAGCAAATTTTCCAACCCTTTTTGCTTTCATAGTCGGTGAATCTTCATTGTCTTGTGTCCGCTTTTATGGCAGTCGGGCTCTGCCTCTTTGTTTGGAAACTACACTCCATCACTGGTAATCTGGTAGTCTGGTAATCAGGCGACCGTGGCATTAAACATGGCCAGAATACCTCAGCTGTCAGAACAGGATGCTGTTTATGAACCAGTTCTTCTTGATACTCACATCATGTAGGATGTTGATGTTTGTCTTCTTCATGGTCCATGGTATTCTAAGAATTTTTGTGTGATGTTTCATTCCAAAAGATCTTATTTTTATTCTTCAGTGATTGTGAAATACTGTGTTAAAATTATCATTGTTGTCTGCATTGTGTTATAAACAAAATCAAGGTCCTGCATTGGACATACAGCACTAGACGTGTACTTTTTATAACTCAGTTGGCATTCAATGGGCGATCTAGTCAGAATCTTGTCTGCTAACTTTACTTCCCAAACATTACCTGGTACCTATTTCAGGATAAGGTTTCTTTGGAGTCAGGGTAGTTTTCTATAATAAAAAACCTCGATGTGGATTTGAACCTAAGATCTTAAAATTGGCAGTCACGGCTATCCACTGCACTAGTGCACTTTCAGCCTCATACAGCATGTGCTGTTCATTGCCTGTACAAAGCTTGTTATCCATTGTTTGTGAATCTCTTCACAGTGTAGCTATGGTACCACTGTCCACAAACCATGAGAATAGTCAGCTCTAAACCACTCACTGCTGGAATCAAATACTGTTGAACATCGAATAATGCATTGTGAAACAATTTCACTAACCTCGGAGCCACTGAGGCACACTGGTCATATCTTATCAGGATCCTAAAAGAAGCCAGTTTATTAGGTTATGAATCATTCAACAAAAAAAGTCATCATTCCTGTCTGTTGATGATGCCTGTTTATGTTTCAGGTATTTCCACCTTTGTGAGAACATCCGTCCAGACTTGACAGTTTTTGACCAGGAGGTTAGGTCTGATTTATGGTCACGTTCTTATTGCTTTGGGTTGTTGTTTACATGTCTGGGTATTATCTAGCATGTTTTTAGTTTTATTATGCTGTCAATGTTTAAGCCTGTTTGAAAAAAAGAAATGATTGATGCTGTCAATGTTAAAGCATGTTTGAATAAAAGAAATGATTGTTTTACACTTGTGGAGCTTTTGAGGAAGAGATTGGAGCACCTATGGATCTGTCTGGAGTGTTGTGATGATAATCCTTTCTAATCACTAATCACTAAATGATTGACTGTACGTTAGAGGGCTGAAAATAGACATGATTACAAGCACCACATGACGTGGACTATAAGAAGAAGAAAATGACAGGAAAAAGTTCTTTTTCTTAGCATTCATCGGCTGTCAACTTCTGTGAAAAGTTATGATTATTCATCCTTCCCGTCTAGACTGTGGTCTTCTTCCAGAACTTGAGTTTTGCATGCACATCGTTTTACAGATGTAGCTGATTTGTATTTAGATCTTCATTCCCTGCCTGTCAGGTAGATGCACTGCGACTTTGAAGACAAAATCCCTGATTAGTGATTTTACAGCTTGCTTGCTGGGGAAGTAGTGGGTGTATTCCCCCACCCCCACTGTTTTCTTAAAATAGAGCCCTCCAACCTACACTGGGATACTTCTGTTTAACTAATAAAGAGTTTACAGTGGAAGATTTTAAAATAATTTTTGGGGGTCTCCTTGGCAAAGCAGTCAGGCCATTTGCTTCGTGCTGTGAAGGTTGTCAGTTTGTTTCACTAGAGCATTGTTTGGTTCACTAGGGCAATGTTTATGGAGATCCCTGGAGATTGACGCTGGAGCTATGGAGTCTAGGATCTGTCTGATGCTCTCAGCCGGTGGTTCTGTTCTGTGAGAGAAAAAAAAAGATTGAGCTACATGGAATAAAACCAGGGGCAGTGAAGTGGATTCCTTCAACTTTAACATTCCCTTTACCAGCTGTTACAGTTATAACCATCTAAATGCTTGTTATTTCTGACATGTGAACAGATGCTAACCTACGAGTGGTCTCTACCAATGACAGGATCTTTCTACCCAGGGATCATGTTTCCTGGTGATCTGCTGCAGATATACTCAGGCTTGAGACCAGATAACAGGGTGGCTTTTAGATTTAAGGACCTCATTGATGCTAACTATGAGAGGTAAACATTAATTTAACTTTATTAAAAGGATTATTTTGTTCATTATCTAGTTATACTGAGGATTGTTGCCACATAACAGAATTGCTTTTAAATTCAGTGATCTTACTGATCGCTAAGGGAGGTAAAAAGTAAGGGACCCTTTCTGTGCCCTTGGTGCCTTGGACATATGGTGCTGGACCTATAGTTTTGTACACCGGTCAGCACTTGATGGTTGATATGGTTAATCTAATTCCTGGTACCACTTCCCTGGACATTTCTAGGTATCCATTTTAGGCTGAACCAACCTGGTAGCCAGGGTCAGTTTTTTTAATCAGATCTGTCCAGATTTGGATTTCTTCTTCTTCTTCTTCTTCTTCGCGTTCACCAGTTGTACACTCTGGCGGAAAGTTCTGGTTGTTTTTCCACTTCTGAACCTAAGTGTTGCGTGTGCATCAGTTTTATAGATCTGATTCACTTGAGTGCAGACTGTTGGTTCCTTGCCTCTCAGGCAGATGCACTCCAACTTCAAAGGGAGCTCCCCAATTAGTCTACATGCTTTGGGTAGGCAGTGGGTCGATTCTAGTTTTTCCTACAATGGGGCTCCGGAACCCACACGGGGAAGATTTGGATTTGAACACAAAGACCTTGAGGTTGCAGGTGAGCACCTACAGGCTTCACTTTTGTGGCTGCCTCCAGTTGTAAAAGGTGAATGTGGATAAATTTACAGTAGAACCTCTCTTAACGAGCACCTTTCATAACGAGTAACTCACATAACGAGCAAAACAAATTGTAAAAAATGACTTGCTTAACAGGCGACGTTTCGCATAACGAGTGGCGAGGAGAGGGGAAGTCCCGAATTGTGCGCATGTTACATCAGTATGTGTTTAGCACTCGTTCTAGTAGCATCATAGTGTCGCTTGTGATCACACATTTTCTCAAACTTGTGTTATATTGTGATATATGTACATGAATCCTCCAGGCCTACAACATGACCTCCCTGAAGAATTTTAGTTCATCAAGATCCAGTTTCTGCCTCCCAACTCCATTCCGTAACATGAGCCCAAGGACCAGCAAGTTATTTCTAACTTTATGAAGCTCTACACTAAAGCACTCTTAAAGCATTGTTTTCTGGTGACTGAAGGGACCAACCTCACTCTCAAAGAGTTTTGGAAAAATTACTTCCACATCGTTGCCTGCCTCAAGATGATGGACAAGGCGGGGGTAGGGGTTACCAAGAGAACCCTAACTTCTGCTTGGAAGAAGTTTTGGCTGCAGAGCATTGTCAATTTGTGACTTTGAGGGGTTCGAGATAGTACCTGTGGAACCTGCAGTCATTGACATTGTGTCTTTGGCCACTATCAGGTGGATAACAGTGATATCGAAGAGCTTGTGGAAGAGCACAGCCAAGACCTGACCACCCAAGAGCTTATGGAGTTGCATTGTGTTTCACAGTAAGCAGTTTTGAAGGGAAGTTTGTCAGAGGAGGAGGTAACAGAAAAGCAACAATCTTCTGGTGAAAGAAGAGAAATAATGAAAGCATGGCAAACTGTTGCATCTTACATTGAGAAGCATCACCCTAATAAGGAAGTGGCTATACGCGTTGCAAATTTATTTAATGATAATGCTGTGTCGCATTTTCGCAAAATTTTGAAGTGTCAGCAAAAACAAATGTCTCTGGACATCTTTCTAGTAAAAAAAATAATTAGGTATGTATCATAATTATTTCGTCTTTTTTCCCCCAAATCGAATTCTCATTTCAGGTGGGTTCATTCCACGTTTTAAGAAAAGATGAAGATAATTCACTCTCCTTAATAATATGTATATAATTTTCTTTGAATAAATGTTATACATAGCATTTTGTGAGTATTTTTTCGACATGGAACGCATTATCGTATGTTACATTAATTTATATGAGAAAAATTGTTTTGCATTACAAGTGTTTCTTTAACGAGTATGATTCTGGAACAAATTATGCTCGTTAAGCGAGGTTCCACTGAACATATAAGAAGTAATTGACTCTTTTCCAGGCCTTTCAAAGGTATTAGGTATATAGGGCCAGACCTATATTTTATAGACTAACGGCATTGGCGGGTGATGTGGCCAGCATCACGCCGGTCACCTTTACTTCCCAGGACTGCACCTGGTACCCACTCAAGGTTGGGTGGACCTGGCAGCCAAGGTCATTTTTGAGAAAGTCCTGGTCAGGAACTAATCCCATGACCTTCTGATCCGAGGCAAGCATCTAGCCGCTAGATTATGGCGGCTCCCATATATACGTATATATGTATGTATATTTATACATCTTCGTGAAAAGATTCTTTCATTCTGCATCTTTCCTCTGCCTACACTGAGGTGATAGATGTAAAGTTACATATATGAACGGGATTCAGATCATTACTGACAAAGCTATCCCATAGCATGATCAGTAAATATTCTGGCAGACAGACACGTGTAGAACCAGCTCCAAGACTGTTTACACACACAAGTGGAAGCAAATGCAGTTCTCACTTTGTGATACGGGGGACCTGGAAATGTGCAGACGTGTGAGGTTGCAAAGGGAATAGATAAACCACACTCTGTAATGGGTGGAATGGAAAATGTTGTAATAATACAAAGTTTAGAGGACAAGGAGACATGGGATGACTTAGGTACAAAGATGTATGACTGCTTGGAGAACAGAGTTATTGGGAAAGTGTTAATTGAAATTAATTGATAATACATGAAACAGAAGGCTGGTGACAAACATAACTACATTCTCTATATGGCAAAGATTATAGAAAGAAGACTGTTTGCTTCTTGGTCATTTGATTATTTCAGATAATAGAATAAATTATGTTATTTCTTGTAAGAAATCCTTGCTCATGTATTTCAATAGTCATCCAATATTTGCTTGCATTGGAATACAAGACCATGAACCGTCTTGGAAGGAGAGCTATATCTTGTGGCCTTTTGGTTCATGCTGGCAGATCATTAGAAAGGGCACAGTCCTGGATATTAGCACATGGACATCTATCACATCACATCTGGCTGACCAGTGGAAATATCCATGGACAAGGTCAGACTTTAACAAGTTTCTGTTTATGTTAGCTGTTTTCAGTATTGGTGTCTTTTGCTACAGTTTATGTCTTGTGTTAGAGTTTGTGTCTTCTGTTAGATTTTTGTCTTCTATTAGAGTTTGTGTCTTCTATTAGATTTTGTGTCTTCTATTAGATTTTGTGTCTTCTATTAGATTTTGTGTCTTCTATTAGATTTTGTGTCTTCTCTTGTAGTTTGTGTCTTCTATTAGAGTTTGTCTTCTATTAGAGTTTGTATCTTCTATTAGATTGTGTTCTTCTATTAGAGTTTGTGTCTTCTATTTGAATTTGTGTCTTCTGTTAGATTTTGTGTCTTCTATTAGATTTTGTGTCTTCTATTAGATTTTGTGTCTTCTATTAGAGTGTGTGTCTTCTATTAGAGTTTGTCTTCTTTTAGAGTTTGTGTCTTTAATTAGAGTTTGTGTATTCTATTAGATTTGTGGTCTTCTATTAGATTTGTGGTCTTCTCTTAGACTTTGTGTCTTCTTTTAGACTTAGTTCTTTTGTTAGACTTTTATTCTTCTTTTGTAGTTTTTGCCTTTGGTTAGACTATGTCATTCTGTTTTTCTATTTTCTATTCTCTACATTGTTTGTAAATGTTCTGTTATTTGTCTGCTTAGTGTTATCTGCATTTTTGGGGGGTTGTGTTTGTCACAGGATGTTTCACATAAGTGATGTATTTTTGTATGTGAGTTCAAATCTCCTGCATTTCAGATCCAGGTGAGAATACTGAGACAGCTGCCTTGAATAAGTGTAGACTGAGTCACTGAATAAACACATACAGCCTAAGAAGGACTCGTGAAAAAGATTGAGCTGAGTATCCCAAGAAGGAAAGGGAGTTGTGAGGTCTAGATAAATTTATTATAAACAGATAAAATGTTACCCTCTCTTCCTGTTTAAATAAATGTACCCCCACAAGGTATCATAACTTTTCTAAGCTTTGCTTTCAGACATTCACACTCATCTAGCAGCGTGAAGTCATATTAGAGTTAACTGTTTGTATTAAAGTACACAAAATATATTTAATAACTGAAGCTAATCAATTGCTGCGATGGTTAAACAATGTTAATAATGAGTTAAAATCAATGAGTCATTAGCAGAGATTGTTCAGTGAGTAAGACAAAGGTTGATGCTATGATTATGCTGGCTATCTCATTTCTACTGTCTACAGTGATCATCAACCTAAGTGTTGCATACACATCCATTTTACAGTTCTGACTTATTTGTATGCAGATCGTTAGTTCCTTGCCTCTCAGGCAGATACACTTCCACTCTGAAGGAAGCCCCCAGTTAGTAGACTTTTACGACATGCTTGTTGGGGAGGCAGTGGGTTTGTTCTTGTTTTCCCCACAATGCGTTCCCGGAACCCACAAGGGAAGTCCTTAACTGTCCTTACTGCCCTAATTTTACTTTGTAGGGCGAATTAAATTGCCTGAAACTGCTGGTTAGGATTTCTTGTGTTTGACCCTTACAGAAGATTTTCCATCACCTCACTGATAATTCATACCCTTCTAGCATACTAGCTGTAAGGAAATAAGTGAATGATCAGTGTTGAGATAAAGTTATTCATGTGTTCTGCATATTTCAAGTAATATAATACTTTGTTTTCAGTGCCAATGACGGGACATGGGAGGATATTGCCAACTCTGAGATGTGGAATGCCAAGTAAGAACTATGACACAAAATGTTAATTAAAGTATTGGTGGGATTGAAGCATTTACCTCACACTATGAAGGCTGAGGGTTTCCATTTGGACATTTTACTTCATGAATGCAGGTGTTTTTTAAATTCTGTGAGCACTGTTGAACAACCACTGCTGATAGAGACAGAACCATACGAAATAAAACCTAATTTAGTGAAGTTAATCCTCTAGACATTAAACATTTGTGTGTGTTGGAATGGATGTCCCCTTTATATTTAAAGTGAAATAAAGAAGTCACACTATAGAACACTGTAGTCAGAATTGTTAAAATGTCAAATTTAATACATTTGTGTGACTATACTTTTTAATTTGCTAAAGGTGCTGCAGTCATGTTTACTCTCCAGAAGTTGATGATGCTGTAATGTACTTTGAGGGATTAGTACTGCATGCCCGGCAATTAAAATGGCATTTCTAAACCAGAAAGTGATACTTGCATCCTCTAGCAGAAAAGAGCATAACTTATAACAACCTCAATTGTGAGGTTTGGAGATAAAGCTGCACCGCAATGGCTTTCTCATATTCATTTGTTATATATAGCACACTCCTGGTATCCTGCAGTAATGAAACATGTCAGAGATCTCTGTTTATAAGTGAGTAAAGATCCCTTTTCACACACTGGCTGGCACAGTGAGCATATGATGCCAGACCCTTAGTTTCATTAAATATTTGGCACTCAATGGGTGATGTGATCAACTTCATAGTTCTAGCCACCCTCAATGGGTGATGTGATCAACTTCATAGTTTTAGCCACCCTCAATGGGTGATGTGATCAACTTCATTGTTCTAGCCACCCTCAATGGGTGATGTGATCAACTTCATAGTTCTAGCCACCCTCAATGGGTGATGTGATCAACTTCATAGTTCTAGCCACCCTCAATGGGTGATGTGATCAACTTCATAGTTCTAGCCACCCTCAAAGGGTGATGTGATCAACTTCATAGTTCTAGCCACCCTCAATGGGTGATGTGATCAACTTCATAGTTCTAGCCACCCTCAATGGGTGATGTGATCAACTTCATAGTTCTAGCCACCCTCAATGGGTGATGTGATCAACTTCATAGTTCTAGCCACCCTCAATGGGTGATGTGATCAACTTTATAGTTCTAGCCACCTCAATGGGTGATGTGATCAACTTCAAAATTCTAGCCACCTTTACTTCCCAAGACTTTTGCTGGAACCATTTTTGGACTGCTACATAAACCTAGGAGCCGATTCCTTTCCTCACCACCTTCTATTCGCAGACAGTTTCTGGAAAATAGTGAAAATTATCAGTCATCCATTGTATAATTCTAGCTAAAGCTGTAATGATTGCTGGAAATTGAGCTCTAACCACTGTCTTTGTAAGCAAGCACAGTAACTACTATACAACTTGCTGCTATAGTTGGTTGCAACAGTCATGCCCTGAATGTTTCACACATATCTCAAACCCTTCTGTACAGATCAACACAAATGTTTGCATGGGACTTTAGATTTACCATGTCCCTATGATTTCATAATTTACAGTTGCACAGGTGCTGCTGTTTTCTTCCAGCGGCAAATTTCTTTGATCATTGCCAGACTAATATTTTGAGTACCTCTTTAAAAAATATACAGATGTGGAATGCCAGTAAGCATAATGACACAAAATGTTAATGAGTAGGAAGTATTGGTGTGATTGTCTTCATCAGGAAAGTGTTGACCCATTTATCTCACAGTCTGAGGGTTGAGGGTTTTAGTTTGGATAAATTCGCTTCATGAGTGCAGGTTTTTGTTTTTTAAACTCCCAGAGCATTATTGCTTTGGAGTTTTATGCTTTGGGTGAACAACTGCTTCTGATAGAGACACAAATCATTTACTTTTATGAACCAGTCAGCAAGTATTATGGCTGTACACGATTTAGCCACATTACTTTTCAAAATAATCCTGCCTTAGTTTTTCAAATGAATTACCTCCAAAATGCAGGCAATTTGATGTTTTGCCACCAAGTTTGCATCAATCTATTTACTGTCAACAAAAATTGTTTGCTTTGAATTGATGTCTGTTTTTTCATATAACTAAAACTTAGCAAACATCAAATTGCCTGCATTTTGTTAGGCAAAATAAAAAAAACTTGGCATTTGTTTACAGTTTAATTAATTTCCTACAAAGACATGATTTTTATAAGGTTTTATGCCAAATTTCAACAATTTGCATCTAACAGTTACTGAGTTACAGATTTTTAAAATTGGGCACGACTTTTGTAATGGACTTTAAGTTTACTTTGCAATTTTCTATTGTAATGCAAGAAATAGTTATCTAATTGTTAAATTTTGTTTGATCTGTCTAGGATTTCCACTGCATATTTTTATCTGGAACTGGCTTCAAGTATGCCAGATGGCCACAAAGAGGTGACTCTTTTGCTCCTGGAGTCATATAAGGTACATAAAAACGTGGTTTCTCTTTTAATGCTTGATTGTAGCCATAAAGACATTTTATCTTGTAGAAGTATTAAACAAAGCATGAGCCCTGTGGCAGTTGCAAAAACACTGTGGAACCTCTGATGTGATGAGGAGAGAAGAAATAGAGAGGCGACTAGAGATCAGCAATAGCAGAGGCAGACCAAGAGAGATGATGCTTGATGGCATGAAGTGGTGGCTTAGATGAATATCATTAGTGGAACTGATTCAGAGATCTGTGAATATACTTGAGCGTTTGGGCCGCCTGGCAGGGCATATGATAATGAGCAAAGTGAACAACGCTGTTTGGAAATGATCATCAGATCATGAAGCAAACGGCTTGACCACTTCAACAACAGAGGCCTCCTATTTTTCTTGCTTTCTTTGCAGTTGTTGACAATAGAAATAAAGAAATGATTATTAGCATTGTGACTTAATAACAATGCTAAGATGAGGAAAGGGATGCAATAACAGTAGGTAGCATTTAGTCATAGAAAACATGGACGTAAAACTTATGTCCTTTATTATAGAAAACATGAGCCTAAAATCTGTGTGACTTAGTCATAGAAAACATGAGCCTAACACCTGTGTGACTTAGTCATAGAAAACATGAGCCTAACACCTGTGTGACTTAGTCATAGAAAACATGAGCCTAACACCTGTGTGACTTAGTCATAGAAAACATGAGCCTAACACCTGTGTGACTTGGCCTAATTTGGTACTACCAGTACATCTCTGGGGTCAACTCAGCCTCCTAACAATGGGTGGCAGGTATTTTCCAAAATTGTATGGGAAGCAAAGGTGTGGAGGAAGGGAACTATCCACCCAGCAACATATATCATGGCTTATAATGTGATTAACACCAGAATCTGTTATGCGGTTACCTAAATGTAGATTGTCATGGATTTGTATTAAGTGAATTCAAGAGATACTTTTACAAGTTCATGCAGAAATTGTAAAGCACCTTTGTGGCAGTCAAAGGGAAATACGATTTTTAATTCTCATGTCAAATCAGTACTGCTGTATGGAGTGGAGACATGAAGAACAACAGTTATTAATGAACTATTAACATTCATTAACTGATGTTTGTGCAGAATACAGGGAATTAAATGCTATGATATAATCACTAATGTTGAGCTTTGGAAGGAAACTAAACATATTCCAGAAAACAAAGAGTTGAGGAAAAGACACTGCCTTTGGATAGGATACACATTGAGAAAACCTGATAATAGTATAACCGGAATGTCTTTGCACTGGAACCCACAGGACATACAAATAAAGGCTGGAAAAATATGGAGAAGTGAGCTGGATATTAAAGTTTAAAAGGTGGGCAGGGCATGGGGTGAGCTGCATGCAATAGCAAAGGATTGGATGACTTGGCATGAACTATCTGAGGTCTTATGCTCCACTGGGGGGAAGGGAGTTAAAGAGCAGAAGAAGACAAAGAAGACACAAAGACCACATGTGAATTTGCAGGTTTATGATACATGAATGACGATGTTGAAAACTTTTTCAGTGTTTCAAATTTCCAAATACTCTTGCTTGCTTTACAGTTGTTTACAAGGGCTATAGAGAAGGAGAGATCATTCCCAGCTTTGTGGCATCGTAACTACGCCATTCTCTGTGAGAGACTTCAGCGTGTCGACACAACACTAGACCGTGTGATGCTCCTGAAGAAAGCCATCTTTCATTTTAAGAAGTATGTGCACCAGGCACCTGATGATACAGACAGCCAAAACATCAGACATGCAGTGGCAACTCTGGAAGACTACATGAACAGCTTGACAAGGGTTTGACCACGAAATTATTTGTCATCTTCAAGAGTAAACTCACAGTATTCTTGCAAAGTCAGAGTTTTTTGGAAAGTCTAGATTATTTTAGAAAAGATGGTATTATTGTAAAGCCAGGGTACTTTTGTAAAAATGAGAGTATTTTTTGCCCCATTTATTTTACGGAAGGTTCTGGGGCCTATTTTGTTAAGTGGGGGTAGATCCACTGGCCCTTAACAAGCATGTCGTAAAAGGCGACTAGTTTGGTGAAAATAGATGTGTTAGGCTGAAACATTTAGGTATTGCAGCCTAGCTGTAAACAACAACATAACATGACATATACCTTTTGAGAGCAAATGCAGAAGGAGAAAAGTATTTATTTTAGAATATCATAGCCTGGCACCACTCTGGCGTTTGTCGTCAATATTCAGCTTAGTGTTCAGCATAGAGTATCACCAGTATATTTCTCAGTACTTTTGAAGTCTTTTTTTTTTTTTTTTGGTAATCATTTATTCAAAATTCATTTGTTCCTATTTCAGTGCTTGTTTTGTAAATTTGTTTCCTTTTTTGTCTCCCAATGTACCTAAACTACTGCCATTTTTTTTTTTTTTTAAATAAATGCTGATGCTTCTGATCCTCAAGAAATTTCTGGGATTTCTTTGTCTTTCTCTTTTAATGTCCATCAGTTTTCTCGGGCATCTTGTTTTTTAATGGGATCAATTATCAGCTGGAGTAAACAGACATTTCTGCTTCTAACCTGACAGAACATGACACTGACATGTCTACACTGACAGAACATGGCACTGACATGTCTACACTGACAGAACATGACACTGACATATCCACACTGACAGAACATGACACTCACATGTCCACACTGACAGAACATGACCACACTGACAGAACATTACACTGACATGTCCACACTGACAGAGCATAACAAACACTTGTCCTCACTGACAGAGCATGACACTCACATGTCCACACTGACAGAGCATGACACTCACATGTCCACACTGACAGAACATGACACTCACATGTCCACACTGACAGAGCATGACACTCACATGTCCACACTGACAGAGCATGACACTCACATGTCTACACTGACAGAGCATGACACTCACATGTCCGCACTGATAGAACATGACACTCACATGTCCACACTGACAGAGCATGACACTCACATGTCCACACTGACAGAGCATGACACTCACATGTCTACACTGACAGAGCATGACACTCACATGTCCACACTGACAGAGCATGACACTCACATGTCCACACTGACAGAGCATGACACTCACATGTCTACACTGACAGAGCATGACACTCACATGTCCGCACTGACAGAACATGACACTCACATGTCCACACTGACAGAGCATGACACTCACATGTCCACACTGACAGAGCATGACACTCACATGTCTACACTGACAGAGCATGACACTCACATGTCCACACTGACAGAACATGACACTCACATGTCCGCACTGATAGAACATGACACTCACATGTCCACACTGACAGAACATGACACTCACATGTACACACTGATAGAGCATGACACTGACATGTACACACTGACAGAACATGACACTCACATGTCCACAGACAGAACATGACACTCACATGTCCACAGACAGAACATGACACTCACATGTCCACAGACAGAACATGACACTCACATGTCCACAGACAGAACATGACACTCACATGTCCACAGACAGAACATGACACTGACATGTCCACAGACAGAACATGACACTGACATGTACACACTGACAGAACATGACACTGACATGTACACACTGACAGAACATGACACTCACATGTACACACTGACAGAACATGACACTCACATGTACACACTGACAGAACATGACATTAACATGTACACACTGACAGAACATGACACTCACATGTCCACACTGACAGAGCATGACACTCACATGTCCGCACTGATAGAGCATGACACTCACATGTCCACACTGACAGAGCATGACACTCACATGTCCACACTGACAGAACATGACACTCACATGTCCGCACTGATAGAGCATGACACTCACATGTCCACACTGACAGAACATGACACTCACATGTCCACACTGACAGAACATGACACTCACATGTCCACACTGACAGAACATGACACTCCCATGTCCACACTGACAGAGCATGACACTTACATGTCCACACTGACAGAGCATGACACTCACATGTCCGCACTGACAGAGCATGACACTCACATGTCCACACTGACAGCATGACACTCACATGTCCACACTGACAGAGCATGACACTCACATGTCCACACTGACAGAACAGAACATGACACTAGCATGTCCACACACAGTACATGACACTCACATGTCCAAACTCACAGAACATGACACTCACAGAACATGACACTCATATAGCAGAACATGACACTAACACATCAGAATATGACACATGTCCACACTCACAGAACAGAGCATGGCACTTAAATGTCCACACTCACAGAGCAGAACATGGCACTTACATGTTCACACTCACAGAGCAGAGCATGGCACATGTCCACACTCACAGAGCAGAGCACATGTTCACACTCACAGACACTTATATGTTCGCACTTACAGTGCAAAGCATGACACTCACACCTCCACACTCCCACAGCAGAGCATAACATTCACAGAGCAAAGCATAACACTGACAAGTCCAAACTCACAGAACAGAATATGACTCTAACAGTGTAGACTGACAGCGCAGAGCATGACACTGACACGTCCACACTCACAGAGCAGAGCATAACACTGACACGTCCACACTCACAGAGCAGAGCATGACACTGACACGTCCACACTCACAGAGCAGAGCATAACACTGACACGTCCACACTCACAGCTGGACATAAGTGTAGACTACAAACCACCCTTATATTTGTGGAATGTAAGTGGAAACGACAACATTATCTTTTAAAGAATAAATTTATCATTATGTTGCATATTTGGAATAGATAAGTGACATGTTCGTAAATGTCATACCAGCATTCAGGCTCTGTAACCCAACAGTGGCATGGCATGACAATTGTGTACTATTTTATTTTAATTATATTATCACCCAAAATGTTTATGTCTTCCTTAATATATAAAGCAGCCACAGAGCTTTTAGAGTCACAATTTTACTATTATTTTTTAGTTTACACTTGTGTTTTTGAAAGGACACTTATTGTTTTCAGTGTTAATGCAAACATTTTTAAACCTTTCAGTCTCAAACAGTTTTTTCATTGAAACTCAGTTAATTCAGTTACTGCTCTAAAACAATTGCCAGTAATAATGATATTGGTCAGAAAGAGCTATAGGAGGCAGGTTTATGTAACAGCTGAATTGGACACAGTATAAGAAAACATCATAAATAAAGTTACTCATAAACACATGGTAAAAAGCTTGTACTGAATGAGGTGGAAAGGGGGGGGGGGGCAAATGACAGTATTATTTATTTTTAAACTCTTACTTATTTTATTCTGATTATAAATGTATGTTTTAGTTTGTTCTTGTCATGTACTTACATTTAAAATTTTTAGTTCAACTGTATGTGTTTATTGGAGCTATTTCACAACATACAGTTATAGCCTTATGTCATGCAAAATTTGTATTGGTTTGTACCAAAATGATCTGCATCAGTCAATATTATTGGTTACATTTTTTAAAAAAGCAAGTAGCGGTATTATTGTTTTTTAAACTCTCACTTTTTTTTTAAATTTTGATCATAAATGTATGTTTTCACTTTGTTCTTGCCATGTATTTTAGTTCAACTGTATGTGTTTTTTGGAGATATTTCACAACATACAGTTGAAGCCTAAAGTCATGCAAATTTTGTGTTTGTACCAAAATGATCTGCATCAGGCAATATTACAGTGTGTTTTTTTTTAACAGCAAATTTGTACATATTTTTTCAGTTTAAATTTTTTTTTTGAGCATTTATTACATTTGTGAAATTATACTTGTACATTATTTTTTCTCCGTTATTAAATGGTTATCTTGATATTAAAGGTTGGCTGCAATTGATCTCCATATCTCTGTCTGTCTGTCTGTCTGTCTGTCTGTCTGTCTGTCTGTCTCTCTCTCTCTCTCTCTCTCTCTCTCTCTCTCTCTCTCTCTCTCTCTCTCTCTCTCTCTCTCTCTCTCTCTCCCTCTCTCTCTCTGTGTGTATCTCATCTCTCTTTCTTTCTCCTGTGTCTGTAAGTTGCTTCTAGGTGTATGTATGCTGGTGTACGTTGTATCAGTATGAATTGTCTGTGTGTACATGTTGTGACTGTTTGTTTTTATTCTGTGTTTATATGTTGTATGTATTTGTTCTGTGTTTGTGTGTGTGCTTGTTTATTGTGTGTGTGTGTCATCAATGTGTGTGCCTCTGGGTGTGCTAGGGTAGTGTGTATGTGTGTGCTTGCATGTGTCTGCGATGTGTATTTTTGCCTGTATGTTTGAAGGTATGCATTCATCATCTCCATGCTTTGGTATTTCTAATTTACATTTATACAATGAATTTTGACATATTAACATAATATGCTTGATATATAAAATGTAACTGCCATCTGAAAGATGAATGCTTGGAAGGGCCCAATGTTAGATGGGCCTGCGTGCTCAATTTATAATTTTTGGGAAATAAAGGTTGTTCATTTTCTCTCTTCATCTGTCTCTCTCTCTTTTTCTCTCCCTCCTCCCCTTACCCTAATTTTTTTTTACTTTCTCCTTCTGTGACTTCAGGAAGGAGCACTCTGACAGATTATTGTTCACGTGTTATTATAGTGGATGGGGCTGCATGGTCTCGAGGCATGACATGATGTCTGCCTCGAGTGCTAGAGGTTCCGGGTTCAATCCCCGGTAAGGGCTGGGATTTTTTCATGTGGACTTGGACTTCTAATATTTCCCCCTGGTTTCTGGGTAGTCAGATCGGACGCCCATGTGCATTGTTGCGCAGGTAAAAAAAAGAACTTCCCTTGGAAGTTCGAAAAGAGTAGCCTAACGGCGCTGCCCAGGAAAAATTTGAGTTACAAATCTACCCAAAGTATTTAAGGATCCTTGCTAGTGCTACAGAGCCTGTGCACTGTGCTGAGCTTCTTCGGACTCTGCCCAGGACAAATGTGAGTTACAAATCTACCCAAAGTATTTAAGGATCCTTGCTAGTGCTACAGAGCCTGTGCACTGTGCTGAGCTTCTTCGGACTTAGACTTGAGTTAGAAGAAAGAACGGAGCACTTAGGGGTAACTACTCTTGTGCCATGATGTTGATCCATTGTTCAAACTTCAAACTACAGTAGATCTCCAACACACACACACACACTGTTCCCCCTTTCTCCATCTCTCCCCTACTATACACTGACATACTATTGTTCATGTGTGACAAACAGTACATCTCCAAAACATTTCCTTTATCTCACTACACTGATGCACTCCTGACTGTTTATCTATGTATTTTCATTTTTGTATTTTCTAGGGCCATACACTTGTTTGTCACTATTTCCATCAAATATGACCTGTCTTTACCATATCCACTTGTCTAGGACCTGTACATCTGTGTCCATGAAATACAACCTATTCTTTGCCATATCCATTTATCTAGGATCTGTACATCTGTGTCCATGAAATACAACCTATTCTTTGCCATATCCATTTATCTAAGATCTGTACATCTGTGTCCATGAAATACAACCTAATCTTTGCCATATCCATTTATCTAGGATCTGTACATCTGTGTCCATGAAATACAACCTACTCTTTGCCATATCCATTTATCTAGGATATGTACATCTGTGTCCATGAAATACAACCTATTCTTTGCCATATCCATTTATCTAGGATCTGTACATCTGTGTCCATGAAATACAACCTAATCTTTGCCATATCCATTTATCTAGGATCTGTACATCTGTGTCCATGAAATACAACCTATTCTTTGCCATATCCATTTATCTAGGATATGTACATCTGTGTCCATGAAATACAACTTATTCTTTGCCATATCCATTTATCTAGGATCTGTACATCTGTGTCCATGAAATACGACTTATTCTTTGCCTTGTCCACTTGTCTAAAATCTGTACATTAGTTTCCTTGAAATATGACCCATTCTTTGCCTTATCCATTTTCTATAACCTGTACACTAATTTGCTTTAATTTTCATGAAATATAACTAATTCTGTATTTCCATGCAGTACAGCTTTTTCTAAATCCATTTTACTAGAACCTCCCCCCCCCCCCCCTCCCAACCCAGCCACCCCCATTCTTACTTATGTACAGAACAATATTTTATTGAATGAATGCCTTCTTTCACATGATAACTCAAGGCTGCCCTGACTATGCAAATATAAACACTAACAAATGAAATCATCAAGGCAGATTACAGATAACTCAAGCACAAACTAGACTGATGCCTGCCACTGTCACTGTGCTGTCCTTCAGTTGCATAGAGAAGGCTGAATGCTGCATCTGTGGTGGCCTTGACCTCTGCTAGGAAGTCTCGGTTCATAGGAGTATCCTTGTCGCTGAGAAAACTCATTGGTCCGGTCATATTAACCGGTGCTGAAAAGAAATAACCGGTTTGCTGGTTCCTGGTAGCTCTCTTTGTATAGTTGATGTATTTCACTCCTAGGTATGTTGAAGCGGATGTCTGAAAAGACAATGTATGCTGGGTTTTTTTTTTTTTTTTTAGAATTCAAGCAATGTAAAACCTCTCACATCACAGTAACATTTGTTCTGCGCTTATGTCTGATTGTTGAATGTTGTGTCTTCGTCGATGCTGACTTTTCTGTGCATGACCTGGGCTGCCAGATCAACCCAAACACACTTGAGTGCCAGTAAAATACCTTAGATAGTAAAGGTGGCTGGTGTGACTCTACTCATGAAACACTGATCACTGGTCTAATCAACATGTGAGACTTGCACCAAACCCCTGATCTGCTAGTGGCATGGGAAACTCTTTTACTTGTTACTTTTCTCCTGTGCAGTCATGTTCTATAATTGTCTACATATATGCTGCCTGTCTTGTCTGCCAAAGGCATTCAGAAACTGCAACATCTAATTTACAGTTATAATACTTTCAGTTAATAGCAATTCTACATCAGTGTATAGAGTGCACAAACCACATTATTTGAGCACATTAGTTTAGAGGGAAAACTGGGTTACATCTATGCAGCAGAGAAATTGGAGAGGATGAGAGGCAGAGAGAGGATGTTTGATATCATGGTTCTAAAGAGCATTTTTATCAGAAATAATTGGCAGTATGTAAAACAAAAGGCCATTGGCACAAGTAATTACCAAGCCGCACTGCACGGTCTGTGAGAAGAAGAAGAAGTGTTTATCCAAACATAATCCCATCCCCACACTGGACTGCAAATTACTTTGTAACAGTAGGGTTGCTGTAATTTATAACTATTATACAACTAACCACCTTGTGTTGGTTTTGACAGTGGTATCAGGAGCAGCTCTTAAGGAAACAATGACAAACTACTCAGTGTCAGTTTGTCTTTTAAAATTCACAAAAGCCCCAAAATGCCAGGGCTGGTTCTGCAACGTCCTGTAAATAAACAGAGGGTGAACCTTTCAGGCCATATAAATATTATATTATTAAGAAAACAGATCAATACATTGTCTATTTGTTAATTTATGAAAGGTGCGAATAAAGCAGCCATGTTGTAAATGGGCACAATGCATTTGCATCTTTGGATGAAGAAGAAGAAACCTCTATGTGATACATTTTCAGACCAGCTGACCCACCTTGATGCCAGTCCACCACTGTCTGACTGTGTCGCAGATTCTGGAGACTTTACTGTAGCCTGAGTCAGAAGCTGCCGAGTTCTGTTGATGTTTCCTTACCTGAAGTGAAGAGATTTCAACAGTACAAAAATATGGAAGTGCACATGAGTTCATTGTGTAGAAATAAGTACTGAATACAAAATAACATTTGACTAAATAGTTCAACAAAGAGAATAAAAAAGACACAAAAATACAACCAAATGTTTTGATAAGAGTCTTTATCAACGGAATACCAAATAGAACACAAACTGTGACTAAAAACTTAATGAACAAGACTAGAGAGATTTTAAACAACCAAGGTCAACATGAAAGCAAGAACAAAATGTAGAAGTCAATCAGCCTAAATGAGAAGTAGAACTAGTTGGTTCCCAAAACACAGGCATAAGATAGGGAATGAATGTTGCAGCTAAAGAGCCTTCATCAACATATGTCAGCACGGACAATCATACCATTACATTAAAGTAACTTTGCTTTTTGGATAAAGTCCACTTGCTAACTATGTAGAAGCTGCAGAGATGTGTTCTGTGAAAGAATGATGAAAACACCACCAACAGATTTTTTGTTGTTTTATTTTTATCAAACATAGTGAAGATGTCTTGAAGGAAAATGTGGGAGAGAAGAAACAATACACATTCGTTGGCCAAGTCATGAAAATGAGTGCAGGAAAGTTGCAGAGGAAGAAAGGCAAAGGAAAACCAAGAGAGATAGAACAGACTGTTTGGCATCATGGTGTGACAGAGCATCTGTACCAAACATGTTTGGTATCATGGTGTGACAGAGCATCTGTACCAAACATGTTTGGTATCATGGTGTGACAGAGCATCTGTACCAAACATGTTTGGTATCATGGTGTAACAGAGCATCTGTACCAAACATGTTTGCCATCATGGTGTGACAGAGCATCTGTACCAAACATGTTTGGCATCATGGTGTGACAGAGCATCTGTACCAAACATGTTTGGCATCATGGTGTGACAGAGCATCTGTACCAAACATGTTTGCCATCATGGTGTGACAGAGCATCTGTACCAAACATGTTTGCCATCATGGTGTGACAGAGCATCTGTACCAAACATGTTTGCCATCATGGTGTGACAGAGCATCTGTACCAAACATGTTTGCCATCATGGTGTGACAGAGCATCTGTACCAAACATGTTTGCCATCATGGTGTGACAGAGCATCTGTACCAAACATGTTTGGCATCATGGTGTGACAGAGCATCTGTACCAAACATGTTTGGTATCATGGTGTGACAGAGCCTCTGTACCAGACATGTTTGGTATCATGGTGTGACAGAGCCTCTGTACCAAACATGTTTGGTATCATGGTGTGACAGAGCATCTGTACCAAACATGTTTGGTATCATGGTGTGACAGAGCATCTGTACCAAACATGTTTGGCATCATGGTGTGACAGAGCCTCTGTACCAGACATGTTTGGCATCATGGTGTGACAGAGCATCTGTACCAAACATGTTTGGCATCATGGTGTGACAGAGCATCTGTACCAAACATGTTTGGTATCATGGTGTGACAGAGCATCTGTACCAAACATGTTTGGCATAATGGTGTGACAGAGCATCTGTACCAAACATGTTTGGCATCATGGTGTGACAGAGCATCTGTACCAAACATGTTTAGTATCATGGTGTGACAGAGCATCTGTACCAAACATGTTTGGTATCATGGTGTGACAGAGCATCTGTACCTAACATGTTTGGTATCATGGTGTGACAGAGCATCTGTACCAAACATGTTTGGTATCATGGTGTGACAGAGCATCTGTACCAGAAATAATTGGCAGAATTAAGACAAGAAGACATGACAGACATGATTACCAGTGCCACATGACCATGAATAGAGGCATCAATACCTGAACTTTAAGCAACCGTTCTTGTGCTGTGTGTGTAGGCTCATAACTATATCAGTTTGAGAATCACAAGTTAGCAGTACAATTAGGGAATTCATATTTAAATAGTTAAACATTGTTCATATAGTTTATGGTGCCATATTGGCCATGCGTAGGACACTTAAATCTTTAAGTGAGGGGTTGTTGTCATTTAGAAGTGACAAGTCTGAATCATGATGTTCTGTATTTTTCTGTTTTTATTTTGAATAGCATGTCGTCTTATCCATGTGTTTTCTGAGCCCATTTTATAGTAAATTGTATACCCACTGCACTTCAACAAGCATGTCGTCAAAGGCAGCTAATTTAGGCTTTGCTGAAATACAATGTCTTGGGCTGAGAGGGGCATTTATGGTATCATCATTATTACCATCATATGCCCTGCCCACAAGTGTAGACAGGCAATCATGTTTCACCATCACTAAAATCAGAAATCAGGTCAGTCTTACCCCATCCATATGGTTAAGCTTTTAGGGTCCTTTTTTTTTTATTTGGCTGTCCCCTTGCTCTTTTTTTCCACCAATCTTTCCGGTTGTTGCCAAGCTCTTGAGTTCATTTCTTCTCATAATGTCCTGAAAACTGACTGTCTGATGTCCTGAAAACTGACTGTCTGATGTCCTGAAAACTGACTGTCTGATGTCCTGAAAACTGACTGTCTGATGTCCTGAAAACTGACTGTCTGATGTCCTGAAAACTGACTGTCTGATGTCCTGAAAACTGACTGTCTCATGTCCTGAAAACTGACTGTCTGATGTCCTGAAAACTGACTGTCTGATGTCCTGAAAACTGACTGTCTGATGTCCTGAAAACTGACTGTCTGATGTCCTGAAAACTGACTGTCTGATGTCCTGAAAACTGACTGTCTGATGTCCTGAAAACTGACTGTCTGATGTCCTGAAAACTGACTGTCTGATGTCCTGAAAACTGACTGACTGTGTCTCTGATCAGTTTATGACTTTGGACTGTCTTAAGGAGGGCAGCTTCTTTTTTTCTATCATAACAAGATTTTGTTTGCTCTCTTCCACACACAAAACCACATCTGCGCTACAAGTAAACGTTTTTCAGCTTGTCTGCTTGTTGTCCTTATCTCACGAGCGTATAACAACACAGGTTCTGTAACACACTTAACATAATTTTCTCACAGCAAATAACATATTTTTTGGGTGTATATTTAGGCTTTTTGCTGAAGGCCACTTTTGCTGTGGCAGTTCTGGTTCTAACGACTGCAAGAACTTGCCTCAGATGTTATGACTGTTCCAAGTAAAGTTGAATTGATTCACTTGCTTATGGATTTTGTCATTAGCACAGATTTCACGTCAGGATATTTCTTTCTTCCTGTCTATTACTATAATTTCTGATTTCATACAATTTAACTCTAAGCCTAGCCACTTTTGTTTCTGTTACTGCATTCACTAAGCACTGCAGATCCATGTCATTGTCTGTGAAACACTACTGTATCATCTACATATCTTATCTTGATGACATTGTGTCCTCCCATGCTGATTACATTCGTGTCTTTTGAAAGTCTCAAAATATTTTCACTAATAAAGAAAAGACCCCTCACAGGGAGAACAATTTGATACGAGGGAAGTCAGTGAGTAAGTCACAAATGGTTGTTTTAACAAAATAAACAACAACAAAACTAAAAACGATAACAAAAACCATTTATGTTTGCACATACACTGTTCTTTTATTTTTCAACAAAATTTCCACCAACATTGATGCACTTGTCCCATCATTTTATTAGTCCTCCCAAACCTGCTGCACAGAACTGCGTGCTCTGTTTTTTTAAATCACATTTTCACTTCACATTCAGATTCTTCATCATTTGCAAAATGTCTCCCTACAAGATAGGTTTTTAGTGGACCAAACATTTGAGTCGTTACTCGCTTGTCACCTCTGATCATCTCTTCCACCCGCTGCATAGATGCATCTGTTACAATCTCAACAAGATGACCAAATGGAACTTCATCAATTTTAGAGCATCCTTGAGAAAAATATTTTACCCAGCTATGCACTGCTTTTTAGGATAAACATTTGTCAGTATTAACTGGAAGCATTTTCTTATGAATGTCTATTGCAGAAAGCCCTTATGCCACCCCCCCCCCCCCCCCCTCCACCCCCCAAACGCACAACAGAACGTTGTTCTTTGAGGGTACACTCCGTAAGTTCAGTCGCTATTTTGTTTCTGTATTGCGAATGCGCATGCAACACCTAGCATCACCTAACAAACAGACATACAGTTCGATGTCGCCGTCACCTAATGACACCTTTAGAAACCACCAACTACATTTTCCTGGCATCCTATAACCATTCGTGACTTACTTATTGACTTCCCCTCGTATGTTCATTGACTGACCTGGTAAACATCGATGGCAAGTAGTTGCCTGGCAGTCAGTGTGTTCATTCTGTGGGACATGATGGATGCTGCTGTCAGGGCTAAGTCGCCAGCTATTATAATCTGTTATTAAAAGAAAATAAATTAATATTCCAATTCAGAACCTTAATGTGTAATGTCATGTGTTGGTGTTTTATGATCAACTTGCTTACCTGCACAGAACTGCAGGTTACATCAGACAGGTGTGGCTAATACTGGTGCCGTAATTATAACTTCCTTCACTGTTGGACAGGGTATCTGGGCTTGCCCTGTTGGTCTGCCACCACAACTGAGATTCTTTGATTTCACGGTGACAAACCTTCAGATCATTATCTGTTAGTTAGAGCACACTAAATGCATCACCCTTACATTATAAACTGTTGAAATATCGGCTGCTACTGTTTCAGTACTGTTTGGTTGTTTCAAGGGAATTATCTCTGAATTCTACGTAGTGGGAAAATGTGCACCCAGCCACACACAAACTGTCACTTGTCAGCAGTCAGAGAGCTGGAAGTCATATTACACGGAGAAGGGTACAGGCAACGAGATATTGTGTGTATAAACTGCATGTAGCAAGATGGCGGGTCATAAAGTGATCGTCAGGTTCCAGCTGAACAGTACCTTGTCAGACGGGATGAGAAGTGAAGGCAATACTCCATAGTGTTATAGAAATAAGAGTTATTTACTAGGTGATCTGACACTGTTGACCACCAGTGCTGACTATATCAACATATCTTCTTGCTTCCTTAATGTTCACTGACTGTCATCTCAGACGGAAAGTCCTGTGTTGTTCGTCCACTTCAGGGCTTTGGTCTTGTTCCAGGATTTAAATGTTGTGTGCACATCCCCTTTTCAGATCTAGCTTATTTGTGTCCAGACTATTGGTTCCATGTTTCTTAAGTAGATGTATTCCGGCTTTGAATGAAACAAGGATCCAGTCTACACTGTCCAGGCTTCTGGTATGGAATATGTTTCTATGAGAGCAGTAGATAGGTCTTCATCAGTGTGAGCCATGATGATCTATTTCTGCACTAAACGAGGCACCGGATCTAGACAAAGCAAGACATGGAGGAGACAGTGATGAGGCATGATCAGTTCGTTTGTTGAAACATTAGCAGGTAATGCTTACACTAGAGAGGGAAGCTCGATTTATTTTCCTCCTCGTCAGGTTCATGTTAAGAGTATGCATGCACAGTTAGCATCGTAGTGCAGTACTAGTAACTGGTAGCTTTCACATCTTACACTTTCTGCATAAGTGGCATAAACATCCGGTAAGCGTTCTGTACACTGTGATTGAGACGTAAACTGAATGGTGTATTCGTAATCAACAGTAGATAGTAAACTAAGGCATTTTTCTATGGCTACAGAAATGCTAACTAGCTCCCACTATCCCGGAAACCGATCATTAACCGTGCCTGCGACACCTAACGGCGTTAGGCAGAGAAAGATAATATATACAATAGATCTGGTATGTGGCGATTACAGTTGTTACATGTATGTCTCGCCACTGGGAGGAGGAGGAGTATTTGTGTGAATGAAGCAGAGTGTGAGTGAATGTGCGTGTCTGTGGTAGTCTGGTAGTCTTAGTTTCAGCTTCATGCGTGTCTGTGTGTGGGTCATGTCGACTGAATAAGACCACTAACCTTTAAGGCATCCATCCTGATAACAGACAGTAAATCCGAGAGACCAGACATGTAGGAGACAAGGTTTAACAGTGACTGGAACTGCTCCACTGTTGGCTTGTCTCTGGTGTAAAGAACGCTGCGACAGGAGAGTAGCACAAGAACGATGTCCGGGCAACGGGAGGGCTCGTTAAACGTTGTCTGCCACGACACATCTGTGTTTTAACGGGAAGTAGTTACTGATATATTTTGACAATACTTCTACCACCACCACTACTGCTACTATTACTATCACCGCCACAACTGCTACTACCACTGGTCTTACTTGAACTCTTGTGTGTGTGTGGTGGTTTTTGGTGGGTTTTTTTTTTAATGTACGTACACCTAGTCGTCAAAAGAGTTGGCAGGGTCAAAAGATAAACAGGTTTAATTTCACGCGAATGACTTATCCGGTATGAAGGCATTGAAAAAAGTATTTCACTTTTTACTTGCTTCACTAATGACTTTGAAATCTCCAAAAATTATTGATCTTACTAATAGTTCAGACGACATCAAACTAAATAATCACATTCTTGAAAAGGTCAACAGCTTTACATAGCTAGGGAGTAAGAAAGATGACATCTATAGGAGGCTCAGTGCCAGAAATATCATTTTAAACCGCACTGGCATCTAGGGCCTTTAACAAACTGTCAAACATCTTGAAGATATTTAGCAAATACACACAACTTAAGCTATTCAACTGTTGTGTGCTTCCAGTGCTAACTTTTGGGTGTGAGAGTACGAAAGCAACGGTAGTTCTAAATTAAAAAAAAAAAATACTTGTGTGCAACAGACATTATCTAGACGCAAACAGCGTCACTTCTGTCCTCTACCTGTGATCATAGGGAAGGCACAATCCTGAACCTCCTGACAAAGTTCCCCCAGTTTGTACACATCGTTTGTGCCGTGAAATACCAAATGGAAGGGCTGGGGAATATACAAATGTTATAAATATATATATTATGTTTGCGGGAGCCCACTAACTAAGTCCACTCACAAATACATCACGACTTGCCCATCACCAAAGATTTCAGGACTCATCTATCCACAAATACATCACGATTCGTCCATCCCCAAAGACACCATGACTCGTCAATCCCCAAATACATTCGGACTCGTCCATCCCCAACTACATCAGGACTTGTCCATCCCCAAAGACATCAGGACTGGTCAATCCCCAAAGACATCAGGACTGGTCCATCCCCAAAGACATCAGGACTGGTCCATCCCCAAAGACATCAGGACTTGTCCATCCCCAAAGACATCAGGACTGGTCCATCCCCAAAGACATTAGGACTTGTCCATCCCCAAAGACATCAGGACTGGTCCATCCACAACGACAACATGACTCGTACAGAAGTCTATCTACGCAGACATCAGGAGTCGTCTATCCAAAAATACACCATTACTCGTCCATCCGTAAATACACCCACCTCCAAAGACATCAGGGCTCGCTAATCCCCAAAGACATCAGAAGTTATCCATCCACAAATACATCAGGTCTCGTCCATCCACAAAAACATCAGGACTCTTACAGTCGTCCATCGAGCGAATTTAATAACGCTTATCTAGCGGTTAGAGCGTGTGGCTGTCGTTCTGAGAGGTTTGGAACCTTCGAGAAGATGATGGACAATAGTTCTGTCGGTGACAAAATTACAAATTCATGTACAAATGTGCAGTGAGCCACTGAACTAACATTGCGGCTATTATTCCTCTGGCTCAGGACCACTCACCAGCCTCTTCAACGCATTCCCCCTTTTCCGCCCCTCTTCCAGATCTTCTATATATTCCTTGCCTGAAAAGGTTACAAATAAATTCAGTAACAGTATGCCCTTATCAGTCCCGTAGAACTACACAGTTTCGTTGTACCGCGTGCACCCAACAGCGCCACCCGCGACTATAGTCCGATGTCTCCATATAACCAACCAACGACAATCTGTCATGATATTAGGGCTTCCAGCTCTGTCCGGACTTTATAATCATTGGGGACCACAATATAACTAGCCGCTACACCACGGCGCTGTGTTTCTTCTGGCTTGGTATATGTTTTTCTCTTAAACATTTGAATAATTAACTTCAAAAACATACCACTTGAAGTGTTCTGTCGTAAACAGCCTCAAAGCAGTGTCTTCGAAAAACACTGAATATTCTTCCTCTTCTTCTTCTTCTGCGTTCGACATCAGTCATGCTAAACATTGAGTCCCGTCTGGGTCACAAATAGGATTGTGCGTTTAAAGTCGCCACCGGTCCCCCATAGCTTCTCTTTCAATGTGGCTCCCTTGGGCCAGATCCACAGTCTTTGCTGGGAGAGGTAAGGGCAGTACTGTAGTATGTGCCCAGGGGTCTGTCTTTCTGCTCCACAATCACAGGCAGCAGATTTTTTAATGCCTATCCTGTACAAGTGTGCTCGAAGACAACTGAATATTAACTGACTTTCATATGTGGTAGTGGTTGTCCCGCATTTGAAAAGTTGGATTAGAACTGGCACACTCACCTGATCTGGTCCAAAGAAATGACCAGTGGCTATCTGGTTAATGACAATGTCGCAGAAGGCGCAGTCCAGATCTTCTATACACAGACAGACAACCAGCGGCGACTTGGTAGCCATCTCCAGGGTAGCGACTGGACAGGCGTGTGTGTGTGTATGTATGCAAGACTGATCAGCCAAGGTGGTCGACTGTTGCTTCTGAAAGTCGGAATTGTATCTGCAGTTACAACGCTTATATTTGCCACAAATCCCTATGAGAGCCCTATGCTTACATTTATCACAAGTCTTTGTGAGGTCTCTGCTTACATTTACCACAAGTATGGGAGGTCTCTGCTTACATTTACCACAAGTATGGGAGGTCTCTGCTTACATTTACCACAAGTATGTGAGGTCTCTGCTTACATTTACCACAAGTATGGGAGGTCTCTGCTTACATTTACCACATGTCTTTGTGAGGTCTCTGCTTACATTTACCACAAGTATGGGAGGTCTCTGCTTACATTTACCACAAGTCTTTGTAAGGTCTCTGCTTACATTTACTACAAGTATAGGAGGTCTCTGCTTACATTTACCACAAGTATGTAAGGTCTCTGCTTACATTTACCACAAGTATGGGAGGTCTCTGCTTACAATTACCACATGTCTTTGTGAGGTATCTGCTTACATTTACCACAAGTCTTTGTGGGGTCTCTGCTTACATTTACCACAAATCTTTGTGAGGTCTCTGCTTACATTTACCACAAGTCCTTGTGAGGTCTCTCCTTACATTTAACACAAGTCTTTGTGAGGTCTTTGCTTACATTTACCACATGTCTTTGTGAGGTCTCTGCTTACATTTACCACAAGTATGTGAGGTGTCTGCTTACATTTACCACAAGTATGTGAGGTCTCTGCTTACATTTACCACATGTCTTTGTGAGGTCTCTGCTTACATTTACCACATGTCTTTGTGAGGTCTCTGCTTACATTTACCACAAGTCTTTGTGGGGTCTCTGCTTAAATATAACCACAAGTATGTGAGGTCTCTGCTTACATTTACCACATGTCTTTGTGAGGTCTCTGCTTACATTTACCACAAGTATGTGAGGTCTCTGCTTACATTTACCACAAGTATGTGAGTTCTCTGCTTACATTTACCACAATTCTTTGTGAGGTCTCTGCTTACATTTACCACATGTCTTTGTGAGGTCTCTGCTTACGTTTACCACAAGTCTTTGTGAGGTCTCTGCTTACATTTACCACAAGTCTTTGTGAGGTCTCTGCTTACATTTACCACAAGTCGTTGTGAGGTCTCAGCTTACATTTACCACAAGTCTTTGTGGGGTCTCTGCTTACATTTACCACAAGTCTTTGTGGATTCTCTGTTTACATTTAACACAAGTCTTTTTGAGGTCTATGCTTACATTTACCACAAGTCTTTGTGGGGTCTCTGCTTACATTTACCACAAGTCTTTGTGGGGTCTCTGCTTACATTTACCACAAGTCTTTGTGGGGTCTCTGCTTACATTTACCACAAATCTTTATGTGAGGTCTATGCTTACATTTACCACAAATCTTTATGAGAGGTCTCTGCTTACATTTACCACAAGTATGGGAGGTCTCTGCTTACATTTACAACAAGTATGGGAGGTCTCTGCTTACATGTACAACAAGTATGCGAGGTCTCTGCTTACATTTAACACAAGTCTTTGTGGGGTCTCTGCTTACATTTACCACAAATCTTTATAGGAGGTCTATGCTTACATTTACCACAAGTCTTTTTTGGGTCTCTGCTCACATTTACGACAAGTATGGGAGGTCTCTGCTTACATTTACCACAAGTATGGGAGGTCTCTGCTTACATTTACCACAAGTATGGGAGGTCTCTGCTTACATTTACCACATGTCTTTGTGAGGTCTCTGCTTACATTTACCATAAGTCTTTGTGGGGTCTCTGCTTACATTTACCACATGTCTTTGTGAGGTCTCTGCTTACATTTACCACAAGTATGGGAGGTCTCTGCTTACATTTACCACAAGTATGAGAGGTCTCTGCTTACATTTACCACAAGTATGGGAGGTCTCTGCTTACATTTACCACAAGTATGAGAGGTCTCTGCTTACATTGACCACAAGTCTTTGTGAGGTCTCTCCTTACATTTAACACAAGTCTTTGTGAGGTCTTTGCTTACATTTACCACATGTCTTTGTGAGGTCTCTGCTTACATTTACCACAAGTATCTGAGGTGTCTGCTTACATTTACCACAAGTATGTGAGGTCTCTGCTTACAGTTACCACATGTCTTTGTGAGGTCTCTGTTTACATTTACCACATGTCTTTGTGAGGTCTCTGCTTACATTTACCACAAGTCTTTGTGAGGTCTCTGCTTACATTTACCACAAGTCCTTGTGAGGTCTCTCCTTACATTTAACACAAGTCTTTGTGAGGTCTTTGCTTACATTTACCACATGTCTTTGTGAGGTCTCTGCTTACATTTACCACAAGTATGTGAGGTGTCTGCTTACATTTACCACAAGTATGTGAGGTCTCTGCTTACATTTACCACATGTCTTTGTGAGGTCTCTGCTTACATTTACCAAATGTCTTTGTGAGGTCTCTGCTTACATTTACCACAAGTCTTTGTGGGGTCTCTGCTTACATATAACCACAAGTATGTGAGGTCTCTGCTTACATTTACCACATGTCTTTGTGAGGTCTCTGCTTACATTTACCACAAGTATGTGAGGTCTCTGCTTACATTTACCACAAGTATGTGAGTTCTCTGCTTACATTTACCACAATTCTTTGTGAGGTCTCTGCTTACATTTACCACATGTCTTTGTGAGGTCTCTGCTTACGTTTACCACAAGTCTTTGTGAGGTCTCTGCTTACATTTACCACAAGTCTTTTTGAGGTCTCTGCTTACATTTACCACAAGTCGTTGTGAGGTATCAGCTTACATTTACCACAAGTCTTTGTGGGGTCTCTGCTTACATTTACCACAAGTCCTTGTGGATTCACTGTTTACATTTAACACAAGTCTTTTTGAGGTCTATGCTTACATTTACCACAAGTCTTTGTGGGGTCTCTGCTTACATTTACCACAAGTCTTTGTGGGGTCTCTGCTTACATTTACCACAAGTCTTTGTGGGGTCTCTGCTTACATTTACCACAAATCTTTATGTGAGGTCTATGCTTACATTTACCACAAATCTTTATGAGAGGTCTCTGCTTACATTTACCACAAGTATGGGAGGTCTCTGCTTACATTTACCACAAGTATGGGAGGTCTCTGCTTACATTTACAACAAGTATGGGAGGTCTCTGCTTACATGTACAACAAGTATGCGAGGTCTCTGCTTACATTTAACACAAGTCTTTGTGGGGTCTCTGCTTACATGTACCACAAATCTTTATGGGAGGTCTCTGCTTACATTTACCACAAATCTTTATAGGAGGTCTATGCTTACATTTACCACAAGTCTTTGTTGGGTCTCTGCTCACATTTACGACAAGTATGGGAGGTCTCTGCTTACATTTACCACAAGTATGGGAGGTCTCTGCTTACATATACCACAAGTATGGGAGGTCTCTGCTTACATTTACCACAAGTATGGGAGGTCTCTGCTTACATTTACCACATGTCTTTGTGAGGTCTATGCTTACATTTACCATAAGTCTTTGTGGGGTCTCTGCTTACATTTACCACATGTCTTTGTGAGGTCTCTGCTTACATTTACCACAAGTATGTGAGGTCTCTGCTTACATTTACCACAAGTATGAGAGGTTTCTGCTTACATTTACCACAAGTATGGGAGGTCTCTGCTTACATTTACCACAAGTATGAGAGGTCTCTGCTTACATTGACCACAAGTCTTTGTGAGGTCTCTCCTTACATTTAACACAAGTCTTTGTGAGGTCTTTGCTTACATTTACCACATGTCTTTGTGAGGTCTCTGCTTACATTTACCACAAGTATCTGGTGTGTCTGCTTACATTTACCACAAGTATGTGAGGTCTCTGCTTACAGTTACCACATGTCTTTGTGAGGTCTCTGTTTACATTTACCACATGTCTTTGTGAGGTCTCTGCTTACATTTACCACATGTCTTTGTGAGGTCTCTGCTTACATTTACCACAAGTCTTTGTAGGGTCTCTGCTTACATATAACCACAAGTATGTGAGGTAACTGTTTACATTTACCACATGTCTTTGTGAAGTCTCTGCTTACATTTACCACATGTCTTTGTGAGGTCTCTGCTTACATTTACCACATGTATGTGAGGTCTCTGCTTACATTTACCACAAGTATGTGAGTTCTCTGCTTACATTTACCACAAGTCTTTGTGAGGTCTCTGCTTACATTTACCACAAGTCTTTGTGAGGTCTCTGCTTACATTTACCACAAGTCATTATGGGGTCTCAGCTTACATTTACCACAAGACTTTGTGGTGTCTCTGCATACATTTACCACAAGTCTTTGTGGGTTCTCTGCTTACATTTACCACAAATCTTTATGTGAGGTCTATGCTTACATTTACCACAAATCTTTATAGGAGGTCTATGCTTACATTTACCACAAGTATGGGAGGTCTCTGCTTACATTTACCACAAGTATGGGAGGTCTCTGCTTACATTTACCACAAGTATGGGAGGTCTCTGCTTATATGTACCACAAGTATGGGAGGTCTCTGCTTACATTTACCACAAGTCTTTGTGGCGTCTCTGCTTACATTTACCACAAATCTTTATAGGAGGTCTCTGCTTACATTTACCACAAATCTTCATGTGCGGTTTATGCTTACATTTACCACAAGTCTTTGTGTGGTCTCTGCTTACATTTACCACAAGTCTTTGTGGGGTCTCTGCTTACATTTACCACAAGTATGGGAGGTCTCTGCTTACATTTACCACAAGTATGGGAGGTCTCTGCTTACATTCACCGCAAGTATGGGAGGACTCTGCTTACATTTACCACAAGTTTGGGAGGTCTCTGCTTACATTTACCACATGTCTTTGTGAGGTCTCTGCTTACATTTACCACAAGTATGGGAGGTCTCTGCTTACATTTACCACATGTCTTTGTGAGGTCTCTGCTTACATTTACCACAAGTCTTTGTGAGGTCTCTGCTTACATTTA